GATCCCTTTCTTGATTGTAATGGTCGTTTTTGAAATGGCTGTAATTTCTGTAATATGGCAATCATGAGGGTCGAGCATGCACCAAAATCAATACGTTCCATACTGGAAATGAATAACCATGCCTATATGAACAAAGTCTGTTAAAAGTTGCAGCCCGCAGAGAGCTTGCAGACATGCACCAAAATCATGCCAAATCTGAACAAAAGTCTGGAGGTCCGGCATGCACCACAAGAAATGGGTGTGGTCCTTAGGATAGAGGTAACAAGTGTTTCAAGACGATCGGTGAAATATTAACTAAAGGGTGGGTTCGGCACCTTCCCTTTCCCCGGGTGTATGGGCATTCATCAATATAAATAGGTACAATTTAAATGATTGATCATTACGGCCCGCAGGTGATACACACAAAAAAATGGACGTGACATCTCCCCAGGTGGTCGGGCAAGCACCACGATTGACAGTGATTATCCTGCAGGTATAAGGAATAAGTTCCATTAAGATGATCCATTCAGAACTGCGGTCGAGGAACAAAAAAGAGCGCGTGGCACTGTCCCTATGGGTCGGGCATGCGTCAAAATCAAGATATGCCGTTCTTAAGAAAGATGCAATAAGTTTCAAAAAGATAGGTTAATAAGTGTGGTCACATATGAACAAAAACATAGGCGATAGGCGTGACACTGTCCATGGGGATTGAACAGGGACCAATACAAATAAGTACAATCTTGTCAATGGAATGATTGATTATGCCGAATTTGAATAAAATTCGATAATAAATGCGATCTGTAGTATATTTACAGACAAAATATTAACAAAACGGTGATGGTGGCAACGCCCCCGAGTGTTGGTCATACATCAAAATCAATAGTGGCCGCCCATACGGTATTTGTTATTAGTATGCCAAGATGATCTATTCAAAATTGAACCTGGCTCTGCCCCTGTGTGTCCTTTTTTGGTATCAGGAATACATTTGCAAGGTTTCAAGGAGATCCGTGAATAATTGCGACCAACAGACATACACACCAACACCAACCCACCCACACATATAGGGGCGATATTACGACTGTGGACGTATAAAAGAAATACTGTACAAAATATACTATCGCCTAACCAATTAAAAAAAATATTTCAATATTTTTGAGAAATTGAATGCCCTTCAAATCTTCCTCTACTTTTACGGCGACATCGTTTATATAGGAATACCAAGCACCAAGAATAAAATGCAGTTTTAAATCAAAATTTGAGAAAACAGTTGTAAATTTAAGGACTAGGAAATTAAAATATTCTAAGGGTATTGTTTTAATACCGGGCCCAATTCAAGTGCCTTATTTATCTGTGTGATTATTCAGAAATCCAGTCTGACCAACATGCTTCTAAACTTTCGGTGACATTAGTATCATGTTTGAGATCTGCTCCGGAAAATAAAACCGCTCCCAGATTGAGACAAAGTGAGACAAAGTTCAACTTATATTTCCAAGCTGCGAAAGGTGCGTCTTTAGTACTCAGGTGTGGTGCATAAAAAGTTTAACAAAGAAATACTTTATGGCTCATGAGATGCTTCGCCCGCCAATAGATTATACATTGTTCAATTTTATGCATGAAAACATAAAATAAAAAAAACGAACGCGTCTCATATAATAAAGGGCAGCCCGCCGGGGGCCCCATCGGCAACTGTTCTTAATATTAATAATATATATTATGTATTATATTATGTATTTGTTCGTTATGTATGGTGTGCGTTACTAAGCAGGACAACATTATTGGCGTGAACACACAATTCGAAAGTACATTGCTTCCTGATTTTTTTTATGCGTATTTCAACGGGCCAGCGTCTGTTTTATTTTGCTTCCTTACTCTGATATCTATGAAAACAAACATGATACAAACAACTCTCAGTTGCACATGAAATCATTCAAAGAGTGCGACATTGTTATCTAGCACTGTATGAAAGAAATTGATAAATAGAAACACCAATAATTAAATCATCTCGTCAACTGAACAGTTGAACCCTAGTATTTTATTATTCAAATAATAAAAGAATATTAGCCTATAGATTAGATATAGCTAATTAAAATAAAAGCACACCCTCTATTTTGTTTGCTAATTAACAAATTGATAATGGCGTGTCTTTTGTTATTCAAATAATAAAGAACATTATAAATAAGATATAGCTAAGTAGAAAAGGCTATACGCTGTTTTTGTTTGTTATTTAACAAATCGATAATGGCTAGATATACATTTTTATTGTACTGCATGGGGTAAGCTACAAACGATTTACAAATGGTTACACAAGTTTCAAGAAATAGGTAATACACTATAACCAGTTAGAAATACTAAAAACATGTGTAACCTACAAGAAAAAATAATTGTAGCAGACAATTGCATTCATGAGGCAAATCTATCAATAATCCTTGGGGGCTACTTTGCAGAACAAAACCTCTATTGTGGCCATGTTCAACCTCCCGGGCAACCCAGTATCATTTTATTTTTGCAATCGATAAAATCCCATCCATTGACATATCTGATAGATCAAACTATACATTTTCAACCACGTAGAAGTCGAATTAGGAACTCTTGAATTACCTTGAAGATTTTCTTGTACCACATTTAAGCCTTGTGATAGAATAATACAACATGAGTAGGGAATACTAGATAGGATGTTTTGTGGCCATTTGGGGTGTAGAGATCTTTAAGTACATTTGTTTCAGAATTCAGCTACAGGCTCTAGATAGAGCCCCGGCAAAGAAAAGGGACCTAAATTTTCCATGTATAAAGTGTTACACGAAAAGGGTGGATTGCGTTTGTAAATAATTCAAATTCTGGTTAGAAACCTATACAGTCACAACAATGATGGCCAGTGCACATTCTATACCGACTTTTTGTTGTATACAGTGTATATACATGGATAACAATCGATACGAATACAGATGATGATTTATATTTACTAACAAGTCAATGACCGTAAATATGAAGGCCTAAAGAAACAATGAACAGTCTTGTGAAATACAGGAGGATGTATTTATTTTATTATATCCAATCAAACATTGGTAATTGTATGCCGGTTGGGGAGGTTCGGGAATTTCCGATGATTATCGAATCCATTCCCATAAATGAGTATTTTTGGGGAATACCAACCCTAACCTTAACCCTTTTTAGAAGACTGAACTTGTCAATTTACTCTTTACCCCTCTTAAAAGGGTTAGGGTTAGTATTCCCCAAATCCTCATTTCTATAAAGCGTCCATTGTCTAGCATCACCCAATATAAAGCTTAATATTATTTAATTGAAATGGGTCTTTTCATTCTCCTAGCAAGGCGACCACCGTGGCTCAGAGGGATGCTGACTGACTGATTCTTTTGGACTCCTTGAAGTAAGAGAAAATCGGAAGTCTTTAAATCAACTTGGATTCATTCTCTCAATCCGGCTAAACTGCTGGAAAAATTATCTTCTTCTAAGAATTTCAATGGGTATCTAAGATTTCTAAACACGCCTCTCTTTTAACAGGCTAATACACCCTCAACCGTCAAATCTCCAAATGAAACAAATCACTGGGGAGTTCAAAATATCGGGTACAAAGACAGTAACAATGGTATTCTTCCCGATAGACAGCAATAGAAAATAGAGTGAAAACTAATTAATATTTGTATACATATTAAGACTGTTATAATATTTTTATACGCCCTGAATTCCTCTGTGTTTCAGATTCCTTAAAACCTTAAAAACGCCCTGAGATAAGCTAATTAAGACTGTTTAAAACCACAGATATAATAGCCAAATACAACTATATCCGGTTTTATAGCAATCTATGTATTTTACCATAGCTTATAAACCAAATATCATACAGACTGTTGAAAATTATACATTGGTTTGTCGACGTACTAGTAACTGATCTAGTTTAAATTTTACTCAATTATAAAGTATATGCTATAAATGGTTTAAAATGTTTATTTATCTTATTTTGTTTCATCTGTAACGCATAAAAGTTAAAATTCCTGTCTCCATTCCCTTCAGTGCAAATCATTTTAAAGCTTTATTTCCCAGCAAAAAATGTATTTATTTTTTAGAGAGAATGCCTATGTTGGGGCCTAGGAATCATTCTCTTTACAAGATATAATTATAAATATTATTAATTTTGCAGAAAAACTAAACTTTCTATTATTATGTACACCCACACTCTACTGTCTTTTTGTAAATGGATTTAGTTGATTAAGTCAGCTTTATTCTACTAGTAATTTATTCAATTTCTCATAGAAGCTTACATATTTGTCTGAATTTTCACTCCTTTGTAAGCAATATGTTCTTATTTCAATTTTTAATTGTGGTTTTATCAAGTATTAATGGTTTTCCTGTGATTTTACTAATCCACAAAAATATTTCTGTCCAAATTTTTAGTACTTTTGGACATTCATACATTAGGTGCTCTAGTGTTTCTGGTATCTCACCAAAGTAAGTGCTTTGAGGTGAGTCTACATACTTGATTCTATATAGGAAGGTGTACGTAATGAACCATTGTAAGTTTGTATCACTACAGAAGATAAAAGGTGTCAGATAGTGGTTTTTTCCAATGAATGTGTGTTATGTAGACACCTTTCTGTCTAAATTTGTTTTAAGATTTTGGAGGATGTATTTTTTGTAGTTTTTTTTTATTTCGCTATTACCATTAGTTTTATACTTCAGAAAGCTGTACAGTTTAAATGGCAATATTGGGGATTGGATGATTACATTTGTGTGTTCTATATTAAGGTTTTTCTCGAATTTTTTAATTGCTTGAAACAATGATTCAAGTTTCAAAAAGTTTGCTTTTATACCAAATTTTTGAATAATTTATTCATAACTTAGAAATAGATTATTTCCATCTTTTAAATCTTCTATGGAATTTTACCAATCGCGAAAATCTTCAAAATAAGATCGCCTCTTTAAAATCACGGAATTATAATGTCACATATAACACCATGTGGTTTATCACATCTATCATCAAACCACGTTGGTCGTAGGTTCGAAATTCCCATACAATTTTGGTTGACGCCACCATTTGGTTGACTAGCATCCCAAAAGTCAAATTGTATCGGGTTGCCGTGGATATCCACAAAAGTCCCCTCTTGATTTATGTCATTTATTCCAGTGAAATAGCGGATACTGCCTGAAAATAACAAATTAAAGTTTATGATATTGTATGGTATAATACACACATCCAGACAAGGTTAATAATTTCCTAGCGGGTTCATTCTTTTGACATTTGGAAGTGTGGAAACGTCGTGTATATAATGTCACAAACCAGTTTGTTTTGAATTATTTCCGATTTAGTTGTTCAAGATTCCGTAGACGAGAAAAGGATCGTAGATGAGAATTGATGCAAGGGACCAATCGGCTGATAAAAGATGAGATAATCGAGTTCGATTTAAACAGTAACTCGATGATTTTAATCCTAACCATAATCCATCATTGATTACTTTCTCGGCTAACACTGGGTTAGTGAGCCAGCGCCATACTCACCAAGTCACTGTGTCATTCCCACGTTTAGAACGAACACAGGACATTAGTGTTTAATAACTCTTAACTTTAAATAGTCTCGGTCACCTTTAGTGCTTGTTACATTGGATATAATATTCTGTTTTTCCATTGTATCTATAGTCAGTAGATTACCACCTTCTGTTAAACAAATTTCTTGAGCGTCTGTCCAGATCACATTGACATCGTGATATTTATAACACCACAGTAATTCTATGTTACATGTGTAACCATCATACCATAATTTTGTATCTGAAATAGATAAATTCACAGAGCTGCAAATAAACTGTTACTTAACTTGACTTTAAAAGGCCGGGAACCTACTCAGTCTATAGAAAAGATAGACAACAGCTATGTCTCAACAGCAACTTATCCGAAATGAAAACGTGGATGCTGACCAAATTTAGATAGGATCTAGGATCCTTCAAGAAATATAATCTCTATCGCATTCACAAGCTTTACCGAACAAATAATATATCTATGGATCAGAAAGTTTTGCTGAAAATCAACTCAGCTATCGTAGCAATGATCTCTGTGATAAAATTATATTTGGAACGTGTTTAATTAGTTCTGTCACATATGTGATAATGACTGGCATCAATATTGTCCTTTAAACAAATTGGCGACAACGAGAACTGGGGTAATGAGGCACCTTGCATTGTTCTACAACTTTCTTAGACTAACTCACAGACAGTTCTGCCAATATGCATTTTTGGAAGTGGGTTACTGCAGTTGTCCGGCTACCTGGTGCGCAGATTAGTCCAATCAAATACAATAAGTTTGAAGTAAACGGGTGCCCAAATGAAACACTTACCCCAAAATGGTAATTGCCCCGCCCTAATAGCTGACGTATCCAAGCGTTTTTATATAAATGAAATAGCGCTATTAAATTTCCTTCAGACATCTAGTATTCTCTGCAGGGCGTCCTCATAGCCTACACGGCTTAGAGGCTGGGATACGGACACCATGCGGGGTTCCTAGAGAGGCATACCTTTAGCCGGTTTAGAAAGAAGAGCCTAATGCCAAAGAACACACAATGTACACAACGCGGAAGTGTGACACGACAGTGTCAGTTGTTCTTTTTGACGGTCGTGAACATGAAAGTGTCGCATCTGTTATTTTTTAGCTATGAAGACAATATCGATATCATTCGTTAAATCATGAAATAACTCTTGAACGGAAGGTCACAAAATGCGGAATATAGATAGATTTCGTCCTCTCATGAAACCGTTGCTTCACACAAAATCTGTAGCCTCGCGTTTATAATTTTCTCCACTAAAGGGCACAACATTAAAAAGTTAGTTCGAGGAACGCTGAAAATCGATAGGGTTTGTCTTCTTACAATTCCAATGCTTCATACCAAATTTGAAAAGAAAATCAGTCAAGCCCAAATCGTCTTAACTCCAAAACGGACAATCGGAAAGCTGTAAATCGATAGGGATCATCTTTTCATGTTGGTTATGCTTCAGACGAAGTTTGAAAACAATCCTTCGAACCACACTAGCCTCTACCGCGTTCACACAAAACTCCATGTCGTAACAAACGTCCCATAACACTGAACATCGATAGGGGTCACAACGTCTGCAATCATAACACCAAACCTGTACAAAAATCCGTCAAAATCCCTACTCTAGTCTCTCTATCATATTACTCGCAGAGGCGATTGAGCCAAAATCGACCTTTTCGCGGATTTGTTTTAATCCGGGCAATATATTGTAATTCGTTTATGATAGTAAATAATTAAGAACAAAGGGATTCATAAATTTATGATAGGGATATATAAATTTATTAGTAAAATAGCAACAAACAAAGCAGATTAAATGCAGAATAAAATACTTTATAGTTTGGAGATAAATTTGTTTGGACATCTTATCATTGAAAAACATGAAGAGGATTGCATATTTATCCGAAAACCACCAAAGGCTGCTTAATCCACACAACTTGCTGTCCGTTCAAATAGCCCCTTTGATGCTTTTCGATAGAGTTGGTTATGTTATGTCCTTGCAGGTATGTAAATGGGATGTTTTTGTAATTATGTATCAAATATTAGTACCATTAAATAGTTAAAAGAGAGAGAGAGAGAGAGAGAGAGAGAGAGAGAAATTAGGTCATTTCGGGACTAAAACATGGTTCAATTTTATTTTAATAATTCGTTTGCGCGTAGGGGTCTTTAGCAGTGGAAGGAAACCGGGGGACCAGGAGAAAACCCACGAGGTTGGACAGACGACCCTACTCCTTGTCACGTACAACCGGGGAATCAAAACCAGGCCAGTTGACTCAATGACAGACCTTAAGATACAGCACGCACGTGGTAACCATTCGCCCATCATCCCCCCCCCCCCCATTCAAAGAAGCTAAGACTATCTGATTTAAGTCAAAATGAAGTATTAGTGATTAGGCAAGTGCTTAGATTGGGCGGAAGTCGGCTTGATTACTAAGTTTAATTTATATCTTGGCCCCGTCTTAATTAGCCGAACAGTAGGAAGTCAAACCCCATTTCATTTCATTTCATTTCTTCATTAGCCCAGTCGGAGCTTACTGTGGAAAACAAAATTGGTTATATCAAAGTAAAATTATCATCGACGATTTCATTTTAGACCTAAATCACAAAGTTCTTGTTATTTTAACAAATTATTAATTAGACATTGATTAACTTACCAAGCTCATGGTCAACACTATGCCATAGGACACTCTAGATTTTCAGTAGATTTAAATACGATTTGCGGTTGATGATTTAACGTAAAAATGGATAATCGAGATTTTATTTATTATCGTTACAAGGATAGCAATGACAATGGGGGCTACACCGGCGATAACTCGGCTCAGAATTAAGAAATTTGACTGAAATTTCGCTTTTCATTATCTATCTTTTAACTATTATAGCGATTGGGGAATTATATATTCGTGAGGCATTACGTGCGATAACACGCTTCAAAATAGATATCTCACGTGCAAAAGGCTAAAAACTTGCGAAAAGTGGTTACGAACTCCATATAACCTACCTGTAGTCATAACAGATGTCACAGCACCATTTGTCCTTGTTATATTACCATGATTTCTTGTGGAGTAAAAATAACAGTTATTTTCATAGATGGTAACAGACATGCATTTGAGATTTTGTACACATTCAGAATTACAGGATAGTAGGCTGCGTTTTTGTTCATAATATAGCAGATTTTTCATTGGTAAGAAATTATTCAGTTCTGGGTGCCGTTTAAACACGTATTCAACTGTAAAATTTACTTGTGCGGCAGTAAATACACAAAATAACATACACATGACGTATATCTCGAAATAGGGCGCCATTTACTTGTAATTGACCAATTACCCCAACAGTTTATAAGACAGTATTAATTAAGGCAATATTAAACGCTGTATAAAGTTTAAAACAGTTATAATATTAATACCATGTCTCTACACATTGTCAGGGAAACACTTCATTCAAACAATTTAAAAGTAGAGAATACTTCTTTAGTTATACAAAACATAACACCTCACACACAGCTTACAATATCCAATGTGATCCACTCAAAAAATAATTATGCGCTCAGAAATAACAATGCCCATAACTATATATCTAATCCTTTTGGGAAACATGTTAACCGTCTGTGTTTAGGTATTTATAAATGCGTAATCAACTGAACTCGACACGCAATTTGTGGACTAAGTGCCAATGTTGAATATGAAAGTATGACAAAGTCGCTAATCGATTTCATTATGATTAGCAACGCTAACGCTTCATATGTCCGGATCCCTTCCTTGATTGTAATGGTCGTTTTTGAAATGGCTGTAATTTCCGTAATATGGCAATCATGGGGGTCGAGCATGCACCAAAATCAATACGTTCCATACTGGAAATGAATAACCATGCCTATATGAACAAAGTCTGTTAAAAGTTGCAGCCCGGAGAGAGCTTGCAGACATGCACCCAAATCATGCCAAATCTGAACAAAAGTCTGGAGGTCCGGCATGCACCACAAAAAATGGGTGTGGTCCTTAGGATAGAGGCAACAAGTGTTTCAAGACGATCGGTGAAATATTGCGGCCACAAAAATTGGACCTGGCTCTGCCCCTGTGTGTCCTTTTGGTATCAGGAATACATTTGCAAGGTTTCAAGGAGATCCGTGAATAATTGCGACCAACAGACATACACACCAACACCCACTCACCCACATATATAGGGGCGATATGAATGTGGATGTATAAAAAAAAATATCATTGGTGATATTCCATGCATTTGCCGTTATCAAAAGTGATCTACAAAATATACTGTCGCCTGACCAATTAAAAAATATTACAATATTTTTGAGAAATTGAACGCCCTTCAAATCTTGCTCTACTTTTACGGAGACATCGTTTATATAGGAATACCAAGCACCAAAAATAAAATGCAGTTTTAAATCAAAATTTGAGAAAACAGTTATAAGGACTAGGAAATTAAAATATGCTTAGGGTATTGTTTTAATACCGGGCCCAATTCATGTGCCTTATTTACCTGTGTGAATATTCAGAAATCCAGTCTGACCAACATGCTTCTAAACTTTCGGTGACATAAGTATCATGTTTGAGATCTGCTCCGGAAAATAAGTTTAACTTATATTTCCAAGCTGCGAAAGGTGCGTCTCTAGTACTCAGGTGTGGTGCATAAAAAGTTTAACAAAGAAATACTTTATGGCTCGTGAGATGCTTCGCCCGCCAATAGATTATACATTGTTCAATTTTATGCATGGAAACATAAAATAAAAAAACCCCGAAAACGTCTCATATAATAAAGGGCAGTCTGTCGGGGGCCTCATCGGCAACTGTTCTTAATATTAATAATATGGAATTATATTATGTATTTGTTCGTTATGTATGATGTGCGTTACTAAGCAGGACAACATTATTGGCGTGAACACACAATTCGAAAGTACATTGCTTCCTGATTTTTTTATGCGTATTTCAACGGGCCAGCGTCTGTTTTATTTTGCTTCCTTACTCTGATATCTATGAAAACAAACATGATACAAACAACTCTCAGTTGCACATGAAATCATTCAAACAGTGCGGCATTGTTATCTAGCACTGTATGAAAGAAATTGATAAATAGAAACATCAATACTTAAATCATCTCGTCAACTGAACAGTTGAACCCTGGTATTTTATTATTCTAATAATACAAGAATATTAGCCTATAGATTACATATAGCTAAGTAAACTAAAAGCACACCCTCTATTTTGTTCGATAATTAACAAATTGATAATGGCGTGTCTTTTGATATTCAAATAATAAAGAACGTTATAAATAAGATATAGCTAAGTAGAAAAGGCTATACGCTGTTTTTGTTTGTTATTTAACGTTGAAGGCATGAGTGTTGGAGTTAGCCGCTTGAACAGGGCTGTATTATAATACCTATGAAAAACTGATAATATACACTCTAATGAAGAGGCCTAACTTTACTAACTTAAATTCTGATAAAGCGGCTAACTTCAGTTGTATCGGGTGCTGTTTCTCCCTTTTAGAACAGTTACACCTCGTATAACCTTGGCCTCCGCATTTTGATTCTGTTTGAACTGCTTGTCTAAGTCCAATTTCTTTCTCTGTGGTAATGTCTTTGGGAGTGTAAAGCCTCTGGGGGCAAAGGTTAAATTGATTTCTTGAATATCGCCCTTTCAGGACACCTGCCTGTACACCAATCTTGTACATGTCATTTTCATTTCTGTCCAGAACCACACCCATAATGTTGCGTGCGTCACCCTTTCCACGATCAACCATGGGGATAGGGACGATTACCCGACTACTAGTGCAACCTTGACTTCTTCTATCAAACTATAATACTCTTCTTTCGTCAACAATACTGACTTTGCAGGAGATGCTTACGAAATGTGGACTCCATCTTTTATATGAAATGAAGCCTATGTGATCACAGAACGAAACCTGTGGTAATCTAGTCTTCTCAATAATCGCTCTTCAAAATCAGTCAATGTGTACATTGCCTGGAAATTTTAGGCAATGTACACAATGACTGGCCTCATTAGGCAATGTACACGTTGACTGGTTATTTCAGGCATTGTACACATTGCCTGATTGTAGACATTGACTGTAACATATACATGGATAACAATCGATACGAATACAAATGATGATTTGTATTTACTAACAAGTCAATGACCATAAATATGTAAAGAAACAATGAACAGTCTTGTGAAATACAGGAGGATGTATTTATTTTATTATATCCAATCAAATAGGGGACAATTTTTACAGTACTTTAACCACGGTTTAAATGATTGAGTTAAATATAAAAAACACAGATGGAGTCATCTTCAATAGAAGGCTTGATCTCGCTTTAACCCCGAAGAGTGCAATTGGGTGAAGAGTTTTATAGGTAGGCCTTGGCATTCAAAAAAGTGATTCACTTAGGCAGTTAGGCTACATGTATTTCAACCTTCCACCATTGTATTGTAAACATAAGATTTAACTATTTTATATGACTGGAGATAACTTATATAGGCCTTTGCCTGTTGTTCAATCCAATTCAGCTTAGTAGTTATTGAATAAAATATTGTTTAAACTAATATTCATTGCTGATCAGTGTGCATTCCCATACTATCCCTTTCAATTTCGAGAGAGTGGGGATTGTTTAATTTGCATATACTCAAGTTTTGAAATTTATTTAACGTTATGAAAATAAATAAACCGATATTTTTGTCCCCATAAAGACTCTGAATTCGGACTGTTTTAAATGTTATTAATTAAGTGACTTTTGTATTTTTAAAGGTTAAAATCTTAGAGATGTAATGTAAAGGGAGACAACAGTGTAATGTAATATAGGATGCAGACCACCAAATATTTTCTCAATGACTTTGCAATGGAGAGTGGGTATAACAAGAAGAAGCTACGTTTATGATTAAAGTGTTGTTATTTATGAGATCAGTTTCAGTATAAAATGTCTCGAATAACTCTTTTTTTATTTGGACTGTTGTTTTAATTCATTGTCATAAAAAACCGTATCTAGAAACTTTTTTTGGAATGGGATTTTGTAAATGTCCGTGTGAAGTCCACGAAGCTGTTAAAAGCTGTTTGTTGACCAGGAATGTGGGAAATGACAGCTGAGGTTCTTGTTTTGAATAAATTTGTGGCTAGCATATGACGCGAAGGGCATTCAACCCATAGTGAGTATAGCTATGAACAGTATAAGAGAGTATAGGTAACAGCATGCAGGAAGCTATAACTTCCTCGCGAAAAACACCTTTATAAGCTGACAAAAACTTTGGAGGCTCTATGATACCTCAGTGTGAGACAGGTGTCACTCAGAAAATACGAAGAGCCGTCTTTGTAAAAATGAGGTCGTCAGGCTACCAGAAGGTCACAAATCAAGGCAGTGAATAGCGATATGCCTACATGGGAGTTATTCAATCGAAGATGTTGAGTTGTCTTGTCTCCTGAAAAAACAAATCCCGGATTCGCTGCTCATGTGCCTGATGCTAATGTTCGTGATGAACTCGAGATAGACGATCTGAATTTATAGCAAGTTTCATCCGACTAAAAATAAATGTTTTGTTCATGATGGACACTAATTTTATGTTTGCCTTAGCAACCTGGAGTTATGTAGCGAAGATTAGCTTTGACCACGACAATTTCAATTAAATCGCCCTTTTCCGCAATATCGGGGGCGTAGACAGTCCGTAGATAAAGGGAATAGGCGCAACTTCAGAATTCCCGTTCTGATAATGGTGACTTCATAGTGGCAGTTTTTCCGCAAGTTTGGCACCAACTGTCAGCTAGCTCTCCGAATAATAATATTGCAATCCTTAAATAATTGGAGTTAATGAAACAGTTTTGGTTTAACGACATCCATCCTCACCATGCATTTCACTAGATCACAATTCGAATCCTTCGACAAACAAAAAGTGTGAAAGTTACAGATTGGTACATTTGGCTAGATTGGTGTCTGGAAAATATACAGAAATTCGGCCACTCTAACACCTGCGCCCACCTTAGCAAAATCAAAATAGTTTCGTGCGAATATCAGTAACATGACAACGCTTGGTCATGGAATATTGTAACATGCTTTAAGGGTGAATCATGCGTTTTGATTGGTCAATTAGGCACTATCGATTGGACAATAACACCCCTCTGTTTTAGTAATTTCTTTTAAAATGCTAAAATAGCATGTTACAATGTCGATAAACACTTTCTCATGTTTCGAATTTGGGTCCTAATGATCTCAGGACATGTCTATTGCACGATAACACCCCTCTACGTGGCTAAGTGGGTAAGGCGCTGGCTCGCTAGCCTGGAGGTGGGGTGTTCGATCCCTGCATTGGCCGAGAAAGTTCATCTCGATTTTCCGGCGTGGTTTCCCCTTGTCAGTGATGCAGAACGGAGGGCCTGACAAGGACAGCTGCCTAGTCGTTCGGATGGGACGAAAAACCGAGGTCCCGTGTACACATTGGCGTGCACGTAAAAGATCCCTTGGCAGTTGGAATTCGATATAAGAGTAGGCCGTAGCGCCGCTGCCCGGGCAAAATTTCCCTCATAGCACACTGTATGGCGTATGCCCGTCTTCAATTAGCCCAGGTTAGGTGCAGAAGAGTAGGACGTTAAACCCCATTTCATTTCATTTCTAAATGTGAAACAGGAAGTGTTTATCTCCTAAATATTATACTGGAAGAAATATCTATAACCGCGCCGCAGATATATATTACCGCGATATTCAGATTACTCGGTGCGCTAAGTATGATTTTAATAGCGGCTTGGTGAATATTTACTTCCAGGATTAATTACAGTCTATTAACCTGTCATTTTTTTGGGGGTGGGGGGGGGATCGCATGAGTTTCAATAGTTCAAGCAAGTGGCTATTGATACCTGAACCTCGATTTCTCGCAGTGTTTCGTCTCCCCCCCCCCCCCAAAAAAAAAAAAAAAAAAAATTCTACACACCGAACAATGTGTCACGCCAGTTTTACTAACCAATTCAATCCTTATCTTGTGGGTTTTTTCCCATAACTCTATGGACTTTCCTTCGTTCTGTTTAAAGAGTGGGGTGGGGCACGTCAAAATCATAGGGCCCGCTGTGGACCAGCGCTGTACGGCACTAGGCTACTCAGTAAATTCACCTTCAACGCTCAACATTCCCAAATTGTGCGACGGGTAATCCACCACTCAAGCCACTTTTTCTTGTAAGTCCCCAAAGAAAGAAGAGTAATCTCAATTTGCAAGTAATCGGGTTACTCTTCAACTTAAGCCTGGACAAACTTGACTACGTCGTGATCGACCTTGTTCACTCTTTACAAATCAAGATGGCAGCGGCCCTGTACAGAACGAGTTCTGCAATAATTAGACGACCATCATTACTAACCTGTGTCAGGGCCTCATCGGGTCAAGTGGGACCGCCAGCCGATGAACATGCCGGCAAAGTCGGTACGTAAAAAGCGTAGAGTCATTTTGAAATTGTAGAAAATAGACCGATAAACGTGTACGTGAGCATGCACGAATTTTTTGACCTTGGCCACTTCCCTACAATAGAAATATATAAATGTTACAATTTAAACTCAGTTACGTTCATATTTAAGATGTAGTGTTTACTGTCCTTGGGTAAGATGCCATGTAGATTGTTTTTGAGGTTAATAATTAATTATTTAAGACAAACATACTATACAATAATTAATTTTATAACCGGTACCTTGGCCAGTGGCTGTCATACTCATTCATAGCATAGAGGGGCACAGGCAGGTTTTGCAATTTAATAGTATTTTTGTGTCACAATCACATTAGAATGAAAAGATATAATTGGCTTAGTCCTTAAAGGATCACACTGTGGGGTTTTCCTTTATGCTAACGATATTGGTGTAGGCCTACTACTACCAATAGTAATTAGTATTTATAGTTACCGTATACAAAGCCTAGACATATTATGTTTGGTAAAATATAGTCCTTATTTCAATATTTGTCAGGCAAATAAATTTATAACAGTACAAATAATGGATTGAAGAAGGTAGTTTTGATTAGTGCAAGATACTGAGATGTGCTTACCAAAGGCAAAAAAACATTTATTATTATTAATACAACTTTATCATTATGCGGTCAGTTCAACAGGAAATGAACACTAACCAGTCAGGGAAAAAAATTGAAAGACAAAAAATTATATTTGTTCATAAATAATTTTGGTTGACAACTATATTTTTGCATGCCTAACAACGATACAATGACATTAGTAGACAAGTGTTATCAGCAATTGTATCTGTAGTTGTAAAAGTATCTTGTCTCAAAACCGGATATGACCCATATCGATTAATATGGGTAGTCATAATTTCTGAGGTCTTTGCATGGAAACAAAGTAAAAAAATTAACCAAATGAAATGACATCATCATGTAATCATTTTCAGCTGGATGGGAGACTTGTATAAGACTGATTTTCATCAGCATGTGCCATAAGCTTATGCTTGTCATTGATACAAGATTGCGACCTTGTAAGTACTAATAATAGGCTACTATCGGCCATATGTGTTTGCTGAGATGCATGATCACGTTAAACGCAAATTCCCATAAAAGCAAATTCACAACGTCGTAATGGCTACTTATAGACATCCATATATATGGGGGCTTTTTTAATAAAACTTTAATTTGTGACAATTGTGAATGTGATCCTTATTGTCTTTTTTGTTTTTAGAAAATAAAAAGGTTACAATGCCAGACGGATTTGGACATGCTGTTGGTCTTGAAAGATTTGAAATGTTGGCTCATTTAGCTGGAATTCAGGTAAGTTAGACGAGCACTGGACCAGAAATCAAATTTTTATTTGAACAGTTCTCCAATGGCACAAAACCATCATTTATAGTTGTATTAGTAAGTTTTTACATTTACGAAACGTTAGTAGATGGCTAAAAGTAGTTTCTGTAAAAAATATCATGACTTCATTTTTAATCACATTTTAGAAGCCAGTCAAATTTTGATTATTTCTGATAATTACTTCATGGATTGTTACTCTTCAGGGCTAGAAATTCACACGAATCTCGGAATCTAATTTGCGCAAGGATTCTCGCAAGAGCTTACGCGTAAAATGTTTCTTTAAAAATAAAAAAAATCTCGGAGAATTGTTGATTCTAACTGTTGAATGTCAGTCAGGGTCGGTGTTCTTAATCGGCTGTATTTTGTGGGATTTAGTCGATTGATGTTTAATCTAGCTGAGTGGTAAAAAACTGAATCGGCCACATGGTATCATAAATTAATCTACTTTTGGCTAATATTACAACGCGTTAATTATTACTTGTTAATAAAGAAGGGTCGACTACAACAACAGCCATACCTTAGAGAGAATGGGCCATATGTGGTTCATAATCCGAGTAATTCGCACATTTTACGGTGATTTTGATAATCCGGTAAAAAAACAAAACAAGCTTGCTGATAATTCATAATATACTAAGGTCATTTTGGTCCAGATTGTCCCATTCCTGTTGCAACGCAGCAGCAAGTTCTTGGACATTGGCAGGACGTTGTTGATGTTGACGTAACCTCTGTCCAAGCATGTCCCAGACATGCTCGATGGGGGAGAGGTCGGGACTCAGTGCTGGCCAAGGTAATGTGGTGATGTTCTGTTGTTGGAGGTAACCTGTAACGATCCTGGCCCTGTGACATCTTGCGTTGTCATCCTGGAAGATGAAACAGCGGCCATGACGTCGTGCGAACGGCACAACATGGACTGCCAAGATGTTGTCCCGGTAGTACTGGCCTGTAACACGCCCTGCAACAACATGTAAAGCCGTTCTTTCAGCAACAGTGATGCCTCCCCACACCATAACAGAACCACCCCCAAATCGATCATGTCTGATGACGTTAACGTCTTGGAAGCGCTCGTTTCGACGACGCCACACCCTCCTACGTCTGTCCAAAAAATCAACAGTGAACCTTGACTCATCTGAAAACATCACATTGCTCCAGCGTCGATTATCCCAGTGTTGACGATCCCTACACCAACGACGTCTTGCCTGAATGTGATGATCTCTCAAACAAGGGATCACGCGAGGACGTCGGGCGCGAAGGTGACCCCTATGCAGTCGATTCCGAATCGTCTGGCCACTCACTCTCACACCAGTGTCTGTTTGAAGACGAGCGCTGATCTGATTTGCTGTGATGACACGATTTCTCAAGGCCAAGGTACGGATAAATCGATCCTGGGCTTGAGTTGTTGCCCTTGGTCGACCTGAGCGTGGTCTGTCCTGTACAGATTGTGTATCACGGTATCTGGACCATAGCCTGCTTATGACAGACTGAGAAACATTCATCGTCCGCGCCACAACCGCCTGTGTTGTGCCGATCTGTAGCATGCCAAGGGCACGTAACCTTTCATTTTGGGTAAGCCGACGCATATCAAAATTTGTTTTCTGGTCACTAAAACAATTAAACTGATGTTTCCACCCTGGAATTCAATGCCACAATGACTGTAACATTCAAAGTCAGAGTCGTGCAAATCTTGGGTTGGACCCCCATGATGATCCCAAGCATCACCTGCATTCCATGCGGTAGCTATTGGTGCGTTTGGGCGTCACATGTAACTGGAAATGTTTCTTCTGTTAGGTTCTATAGTGACTTTTTTCGTAGTCATTTGCATATTTTAGTATTATGCCCCCAAAATCAAATATCCCCTACTTTTTTTGAATAGTATAGGTTCAGTGAAATACGTCACGTGGTGAATGAAGACGATCTCGGCATGGTTTGCTAATTATGCATCTTCCATGCTCCGTCTGTATGAATTCCAGGTACCGGTAGATATTAAAATAATAACTGGATCATACTTTGATGGATTTACTGACCAGTTGTTACGTAAATTTAAATTTTCATTGAATATAATCCCCTGATAGAACACAGAATACACGGAGATAGAAACTGGATATTTTCCCAACAGAATCTCGAATGCCGAATTCCAATGACACGTGACATATCAGTTGGAATTAGGTCAATAAACCAGTTCTAAATAGCGTTTACTGTTATGATTTTTTATTTTATATACATGCTGACAGAGACTTAATTTTGAAAATATTATTGAAGGCTATATCATAGTCGTACAAAATTTTATTTTATAGCAATTTCAGTTATGATTGTCACGTGATCATTGTGTTGATTGTCCATCATCGACGAATGAATAAAAACTTTTGCAAGTTACGTGACTAATTAAGTGATGGACAAAAGACTACAAATTGTGCTATGAAGAAATGCCATGGTGCTGTATCAGCTTATTTTGATTACTGCATTTTCTGGATATTACTTTTGACACAATTTAAGTGTTTACCCAAAACTTCATCTGATTGTTTTTTTTATCATTGTTGTTGTATTTTGGTGTTTTAGATTAACACAATAAACACAATTTTGTTTTTTAGACAGTATTATTAATTAACATTCAGAAAATTCGCGCAGATCCCATATATGAGAATCCTCTTAGATTCTCGCAAAAAATGACGAATTTCTAGCCCTGCTCTTAATCAGTTTTTATTATCTTGTATAATATGCTCCTGTTACTAACAAAAGAATAAATATATGAGGAACCTTTGTGGATTGCTCTGACGACTTGGCTGCCATGGGTTTGTTTCCTTGCCTGTCAAACTATCTTTCATAGTTATTGCTCTGATATTCAGAGATGTGTACCAAAATTAAGTTCATGTACTGCTTCTTTTGCTAAAACCTTGTAGAGGTTCTAAATTTCAAGGGATTTTGAGATTGTTATTTAGGCCGAGTTGTGCCGCTGAAAACCATATTGCAATATATTGTAATATTTCTATTGGCTATATTGCAATATTTCAAATTCAGTATATGAAAATTGAGTTAATAAAAGTTAATATATTTTAGATATTTAAAAAGCTTTGTGCATTTTTTAACCCGATAGGATTGAGAAATGAATAAAGGCCATGCAGTACATTAACTGGGGTATATTTTATGTAATATTGCCATTAAAGGGTATAGGTTATTTGTGTAATTGTTCTGAAAGGGTCTATTAACCAAAAACAATAGGTCAAATGTTGGATGTATTGTTCACAAAAATTAAGATTATAGAAATGAATATTTACAGAAATAAAGAAATAATGAAAAAGTTATTGCCATATATTGACTTCCAAAAATTTTATCAAAATAAATTCCTTAGGCCTAACAACATCCTGTGATGTGCATTCTGCCTCTCTTTGCAATCCTACTGGTTGATGATTTTCGTTACCGGGCCACATGATGTTAATTTTAGACAGAAGGGGAGGCACATTACTGAGAAATAAGGCCACTTTACAAATTATTTTGTTTTTGTTTTTAGGATCCTTTTGAGATGGATGTGCGTCAGTTTACAAATAAAGATGGAACTTTCGACAAGCCAAATATAGTTCCATCTTTATACCAAAAACGTCTTGTAGGCTGTATATGTAAGTTATTATTTTATTTGATGATGTTTATATAGAGTTGATGCAATATAAATGAATGATTGGTATTTTTAGACCTTGAACTAAATGAAACACTGTGCTTTTTATATGCCCCCGTAGGTCAGGCTGTCTTTTTCACAATTACTTTTTTTGTTAAAAAGAAAACTGCATGATGTCAGTTTTTTCAAACTTGCTGGGCATGTTCAAATAGCATTGAAATTCAGAGACGCACATTGTTTTATGAGGATTCATTGCCCTGATCATTGAAACCTTGTAAATACTCTACAGGTCAGACTGTCAGAGTTTTTGAGGAATTTTTTAGTAAAACTTGTGGGGATTTTTCGGCTAGTCATAATTTCAGAATGGTGCATCTACGATATGCGGTTTAACCTTTGTAAACACCCTGTGGGTTGGAACTATTTTTTATTATTTGTGATTTTTTAAAAGTCTTGCTTTATTTGTTTGGTAGCCTACGTCAGAGGAGGAATCCTATCAAAATTCAAGTTTTGACAAGGCTGTTGGTGAATGTCTAGCAATGCTACATTTGAATCCTGTCTACCTGTAAATGGTGACTTATTATTAGGTGACTTAAGGGGTTTGGGAAATATAATTCCTGCATGTGTTCTTTCAGCAAGTTCACTAGTTTCTTGGCGACCATGGAACTGATTAAGTTTCTTTAAAATTCATTAGAAGTTTTCAAAGATACCATATGTTGTCCCTTTAATGTGACAGAGCAAGCGGATAAGATATGGTACAATAAAAACAAGTGCAACAAGATTCAATCGAAGTACATAATTTGTTTTTCAGGTGAAGAAGATGAAATTAATATTAATTGGATGAACCTACATAATGGAGAACCAAAGCGCTGTGAGTGCGGACACTGGTTTAAACTCAAAGTGATAGATCCTAAAGACCTTGACTACAGTTATGTGGTGGACAGCAAGAAGAAATAAGATATAATTATAAATTAAAAAGGAACAATTTTTAAGGAATTTCTAATTATTTGTTAGTTTTGCCGCAGGGACAGTACTATCAGCAACAATGTGACATTGTTATATATTATATTTGTGTGTCCACATTTAATAAAAGTAATATCGATAAAATACTACTTTTGTTTGTTCAGATCAGGGCTATTGCTTTATTCATAATATTGACGGACAGGTCTTGACCAAACGGTAACAGATCAGGGCTATTGCTTTATTCATAATATTGACGGACAGGTCTTGACCAAACAGTAACATAATTAATCTATCGGTTGTTTTACTCGAAGAATTAAGGACAGAAAGTGAAATATGCATGGTTGAGTTACAATTGTCAAAATATTTTTTAGCAGTGGTTTTCTGTGATAATCAAATTGCTGAAAAATTATCTTAGATAAAAACAACAGCCCTGGTCAGACTGTAGATTTTAACACATATCAACAGATGTAGACAATATCTCCATGAGTTAAATTTGAATTAAAAAAGTTTAACTTTATACAGAATTTTATTTTATTAAAGTAAAAATACTGTCTTGACGATTCCTTGTAAAAGAATGAGTTTGCAATTCTCAAATTTACATGTACTCAAACAAAACACTTCAAAAAAATTATGTGCATCCAACATGACAAGATTATAATACCTTTAATATTTATTTCTGGCCAAGTTTCCTCTTACTTTTATTCTTCATCAAGCAAAGAATGGCCAACCTTATTTAGTTCATTAGCTAGGTCAACATTCACTTCCACTGAGGGTGATATTGCAGACAAATTAGGCAGAAGAAGCAGGAATGGGAGGATGAAAAAGTTAATTTTTTGCAACCTCCATCCCTATAGGTGAAGGTGTAATTGTGCCTTTTGAAATACAGTGTCTGATGGAACCTTTCATTGGCATACCATCAGAGGTTGCAGTGGATCAATTTCGAGTTGCGTAAAAATATGCAGACAATCAAAATACTCAATAGAAGCAAGTAAAATCGTTACGTGAACAACCTTATTTTAAGCGTTGTTATTTCTTTGATACTGTAATTAGTCTAATGACTGAAGGTTGAGGGCATATCTATGGTTGACGGCACAGTTATTTGAATCTTTCACTTCAACAGGAAGTAAAGAGCAAACTATTGCTATGAAAGCCAATATTTGATTGGCTGAATGTAAACAGTTTATCGTGTTCTAGCCAATTCAAAGTCTTGTATGAAATGCTCTTTATTGCTTACAGTGCGGCAAAATAGGGGGTTTCAGAATAGCTACGTATAGAAGGCTTACTGCCATGAACTTAAAGATTATGAACGAAATAAGAGGAAATATAAAAACCTACGGAGACTATGTACATGCCGCATGAAGCATTGATAATATTGCATTGAAATTGATGATGTAGTGTACAAACTAAGAAATGGAATAATCTAGTTATTCTCACATTGGGTAAATATTCTGCGTGTAAATTATACAGCGTCATCAATATTTGTGTTGATTTTGAAAAAAATTCTCGAAAAATCCAGATTTTTGCGTGACTGTGACCTCTGCATACCATAGTACAGAGAGAGGCGCAACAATATTATTCAATGGAAGACAACTATTTAGATACTATCTAAGGTGTTGAGAATTCATAATTACACGTTGACCCCCCCCCCCCCCCTTAAAACTGATGATCGATTAGAAAAGGCTTACAAACTACCATTCCTAGTAGTCCTAATTTAATTATGTAGTTTAGGAATATTGTGCCTTCTAAGACAACCATTACATTACACAACATGTGAATCAGTCAATAACACGCTTCCCTCAGAATTGCAGATGTGAAAGTCATCCTTTCCGGGACATTCCCCAATTCAGTTATTTGGTTGACAAAATGTTTCTATTCTACCATGGATTGCACTGTAACTAAGAAGTTAAAAACTGCTTGTACAGACCTACATGTATTAGTAATTAGAACAGAAAACCGGTGGGCCAAAGGCAAAATTTAAAATTATATTGAACGTCCCAACACAGTCATTTCAATCAGTTCAACACATGCGGTATTTTAATGGATGTATTGTCACTCTTACATCAAGTTCAGATTTGATAGCCAGAATAAGAAACCATGTAAATACTGATCATGGTCATCTTTCTGTTTTATCTAGAAAGAGATTAACACCTACTCTACATGAATTAGGTCATTTCGGGACCAACACATGGAAAATTTTAAATCAATTTATTGCTTGCGCGTAGGGGTCTTGCAAAGGGAGTAATCCCATATGGTTGGACAGGTGACCCTACTCCTTGTTGCATACAAGTGTTGGGATAGAAACCATGCCACTCGACTGTGTGACAGACCCTTATGTATTATTGGGTGATAATGTCTACTTGACCACCCAACCCCCATTAAAGGATCAGAGGAAAGTATTAATAAAAATGTCAACATAATACAGAAAAGGTAAACAATTTGAGTTAATTACTTTTTCTCTATCAGTGTGATTGCCTTAGTAATGGGAAGAATTTTAGTGGTGCGCATCCATAAAGTCAAGCTTCTTAAAAAGAGTTATGTCCCATAGACATTCTGTTTTGTGAGTTTCAATATGAATTGCCTCCCTTGTTGTCGCTCTTCTGTTGAAGGTAGAAGAATATGTAAACACTTCCTAAAGTCAGCCAGAGAAAGAAAACCAAAACACTAGACATTGACAGTTGGAATTAACCTTCATAAACAGTCATTATGTAAACTACAACACCTAGTTTGTAGACTATTAAATGTGGCGTTTAGGCAAGTTATAATTTATGCCCACAGTCCAAGTGGTTATCGAAAAAACCTGTTGCCCTATTAAACGCGTAATTACGGTCAATAGAATAATATTAATGCTCTATTTTTAGAAATTATAAACTGTGTCAGACAGCCCATTGTTCAAATTTTAAACTGTTTAACTCTTATGTTTGATTATTACCACATGAAGTTTCCTTATCTGCAGTTCATGTTATTATGGTCTGAATCATTCATTTCATCATGACCATTGTGTCATTGATTGCCAACCTAAATCCTTATGCTGAATTTTAAAATTGCATAATCATCATCATAATCATCATCATCATTTGTATTCCAGTCCCGGTAATGATGACATCTTAGAGATGACATCAATGTTTTTGCGTTGGCAAACAAACTGAAAATAGAGACATAAGTCATACTGTATTAGCTGTGATTACAGTCTATTGACTTTAATTTGATCAGTTTTCATCCAATACTACTGGTACTACTAGTGGTAGAGAAAAGGATCCTGCGTCACCCTGCATGCTTAACACCGTGTCTCGTGTGAATATTTTTTCTCTACTGTACTTTCACATGAACTTAGTATGTTGATTACACAAAATATCAATATCATCAAATTCAGTATTTTAATACTAAGGATATAAATTAGGAAAAAAAATGTTTATCCTTCTTTTGGTTTTTGTTACAAGGAAAACCGAATCATCTGATGCATGGGTTGAGTCAAACGCCAAGTTTAGTTACATTACTAGTATATTGATAAAAGTGGAATTTAGAATTTTGTTATAGTAATACATTTATTTATAATTCTATGATAGAACATTAGATTTCAAGATGCTTTAATTCTTCTTGTAAAGTGTTGATTGGTTTATAATTTTCATTTTATTTTATAGGTAGATATTGAGATGTTGAGTTCGAGTTTTGATATCAGGTGACATCAATAATTAAGGCGGGAGTTTACATTAACTCAGCAGCCATGTTGTATATATTTCTTGTCGATACAGGCACCATGATGACCTTCGATATGAATTTAGCTATGGAAAGGTAATTTTATATTGCATTGATTTCATTACCGTACTATTTGTGATTGTAGACATGTAGGCTATTTAATGCTTGGCATTAATAACTACAAAACTGCAACGACTGAACGTCTGTAAAAGTAAAAAACTTAAAATTTTGAGTACACAAATTAGAATTAGTTTTTTTGTACGCCCACACTGAAACATGATTGCATATTGCTGTCACCCCCTGTCTGTTTCTTTCTTGTGTACACTCTCTACATATACATTTGTCATGATGCATTTGTGAGAATTCTATTTCTGCTAATGACTTCTGGATTTATTGCCTTTGATCACTTCCTATTAAAATCATAAACATTGTTAAGATTACAGAGCCACAATTTCTGTTAATTACTACTTTTTAGTGATGGTCTTTGGTTACTACATGTAGGCTATGTAGAATCTTGTAAACTCTAGTGACAGATATTATCTATCAATCTGCCGTTTTATGTACCTAAAGAATAGCATTGCGACAACCTTACACATTCCTGAAAAATCCGGCTCTAGTCATTGCTGTACTTAAAGTTAGATTTTTGACAGAGTTTGAGAGTCATAGTTCTATTCAGTTTGTGGAAGTGTGATACATGTACGTAACATGACAGTCCGTCTCTTTGATCAGGGGTCTTCCCTAAAACTTCGGACAGTTGATACAATTAGTTCTTATGCCATGTTTTGCTCTTCCCTGGATAATCCCTTATAATGAATTTCGCAGGTTGTAACGTGATGTAGTCATGATTGTTATTATACACTTTTACATTAGCATATTTAGGGCTCTATTTGTTACTTGGTAAAAAGTAATTGATTGGTTTTTACCCAGACCATTAACTATTATACACTTTTACATTACATTGTTACATTTACATTGTTATTATACACTTTTACATTAGCATATTTAGGGCTCTATTTGTTACATGGTAAAAAGTAATTGATTGGTTTTTAACCTGACCATAAACTAATCCACATTTGGGCCAGAAATCATCAGTCAGTCCAGCAGTGTTTGAGTGAGATTAGGACTAATCAAACAAAACACTACGAGCAGTATGTAACCTTTTATTGCCTGCTCGGATGACTTAGATATCTATAGGCCCTTTTAAAATAGGTGTTCGTGTAATAATATATTTTAATGTAATTTGTATAATATTTCAGTGTATCCAAGCTACAGACAGTCATATGTAAAGCCTGTCACATATCTGAAGATAAGCAGGTCTTACTGATCAGTGGTGGGGAAAGTTTGGATCCTCATGCTCGGGTTGGGCGATATAGTGCTGGCACGGTTCGTAGATTGTTTTTATTGTCTAGTTTGATTGCTTGCTCTCAGACATTTTATTTTTCCTCAGATGCAAATGACATTTTTTTAAATCTGTTTAAAGATGGAAAAATTAGTAGATTTTACATAAGTAGCCTACATGTATGTGATGGTGGTAGGAAATGTGTAACCTGCCATACATCAAGTAATATTTACATGTATATTGATTTTTGAATTCATGATTCCACAACGACCGGTATATATTTTAACATTTAAACATACATTATGCAAGAGCTAAATCTGCCTATTGCAGGTCTTTCTTTAGGCCTGAAATGTTATCTAAAATATAATTAGACATTAATTAACTTATCCAGACCATAATCAACTCTCGATGTCATCGCTAGTCTGCAATGTTTATTGGATTAGGTTCCGATCTGCTGTTCGACATCCATTCATGATTTAGTCATGAAATGGATAATCAAGACTATGTTTTTTATTGTACCGACTTTAGTATTGATGATCAAGGCTAGGCCGAAAATTCAATCGCTAAAATCTTGGTTCAGAGGGGATCAATTTGACTGAAATTTTCAGCAAATTCCCTTTACATTATCTAGTTTTTAACTATTATAGTGAGAACTGTCAGCTCTTTATCTAATCTCCCTTAATGTATCTTTAATTTGATTGAAATAGAATGCATTTAATTGGAAAAAACCCCAAGCATAACTGACATATATGTATATACATGTAGGTTTTAGACAAAGACAGTGCTGAATCTATGGAAAACCGGGCTTGCATTTGCATAATTGCCAGTGCAAGTATAAAAATATATGAAATGAAATGGCGCCTGAAAGGGACATACATGTATAAGTGTCATTGTTGTTGTTTATTTTGAATTAATCTTTTTGTATGAAATTTCTAGTGAATTTTGAAATTTAATCTAACTAAGTTGGTTGATTATCTAACGAGATAAATGCATTTTAAGAAGGTGATGCCCCATAGTTATTTATAGCTGGACCAGTAAACAATTGAATCTGTCTGGCTTATGATTGTGTAATTCACAGTCTGACATTGGTTGGAAATCTACATGAAAGGAAGATATTTTTTTATTTAAAAAGTCTCACACTAAGAATTTCTATATTCAGTGGTGTACGTTATTTACTTTAGACAAATTTCTTTGCTTTTAGTTAGAAACATGAAGCTTTTTAATGAGACCATTATTGATGCATCTTTGAGAGGGTAAAATATGTACTAATTGAGTTTATTACTATGGTTTTAAGGTTTTCATTTAGTGAAGAGATTAGGAAACATGCCAGTTCATATTGAATATTTTTCATTTATTTTTTCAGGATACTAATCCTATTTATCTGTTCAGTAAATCAACAATAGAGGCTGCCACACCCCCTTCTCCTAGTATACATTATGGTTCAGGTATGTTATTGATTGAAGTGTTTCATGGTTATTGAATTCTATGTAAGGGAGGGAATTCTCCTGATATTTTGGCTTGTATGATTGTATGTTGAATTTTTACTGGCATCAAGCCAAATGTTTGCATTTTAGCAGATTTAAAGCCAGTTATTCAACAATTAAGGTGCATAGAACTGTTTGTCTGTTACCAAGGAAGACAATAAGACCGGTGTCATAAGAGTTTGATTAATAAATTTAACAAATATATAGCAACAATGTGACCATTGTTTTGAGGCGTATAGAAGGCATAGGAACATTATTGATGATACCAAAAAAGTTGCCCAACCTGGGTGATGTGATAGTGATTATTTCAACATTCTTTCACTGAAGAGTTAATTACTTCAATTAAAGTAATATTTCTGCTCAATAATTACAATATGAATCATAAAGTCCTGAATGAGCATTTTCAATGGTACGTACTTGCAGTAGAAATATGAGATTATAAATTAGTATTGCAAATGAACCGTTGTTTAGTACTGTCAAATAAACTGTTCATTTTACATCTTCAGATGTTGATCTACAGAGTCAAGTTGAAGGTTCATTAATCATGCCACCAGCATACGAAACAGTTGTATCTAGAACACAATTAGCAGTGGTAAGTACCTTTCCTGTGTAAAATTACTGTTCATTAGTCCTCAAATTTATGATGTCCTTAGTATCTTTACATCATTTATACCAATCGACAACACAGGCTGATTTTCCTGGTTTCCACAGTGACCACAGGTAATTTGACTCTTGAATTTCCGATGTTTTAGCTAAAATAGTATGAATATAGCCTTGTAGTAGTATTGCAGTTTTTCTGTTTTCTTTTGTATGGATGCCTTCAGTTTATTATATCTTCAGTTTAGTTTAGCAAACATTTATTTAAGAAATATGAAATCAGTTGTACTTTTCCCATTTTAGAAAATAACACTTGGATAGCAGTATGAAATGGCTGTATTCCGAAATATGAATTCACAGAGAGAAAATTATACATTGTAATATGAAAGAGTTTATGGAACCTAGGAAGGCCTTTTTGATCAAATTATTTTGACTCTATTTCTTTAGTAATTTTGGACAAGGTACTGGGCCCCATGCGCTACTAATCTTTTTTGGCGCTTGGCTGTGAGTCGCTCTTGAAAAAGCCAAAGGCTCCGCCAGTTTAACTAAGAACGACATGAAACTTGGCATGCTTGTTCCTTTGACAATTGTGCATCAATAGATGGATTTTGATTTTTAATATGCCATCACAATTCCAGGATGGCTGTGATAAACGCCACACACTTGGAAAAATATACTTGATCATATATTCAATTATTTTTCAGCAATTTCGTGATGTTGATGAAGATGAGTTAAGAGCATGTATAAATTTAGTTCATGATCAACATTTACAACAACAAGGATGGGCAGCAGTTGTAGCAAATTTAGAAGATATAACTATGTAAGTGTCAATTGTGACTTAGATAGTATTCTTATTGTCTTCATATAAATTCATCTTAATCTTATGCAAAGTACACTTTCAAATTTAGTATGTATATCTCTTCAAATATTTTGTCTAAGTTATAATTCTTATAAGGCCATGCAATAAAACATTTAATTGAGCAATTCAGATAATGGTCAACTAAGACTGAAACCTTATTCGGTGGGACACTATTAATCAAGACAATCTGTTTTCCTCGAGTTCGGAGGATCCCTCACTTATATGTTCTACTTTTTTCCAGATCCTCTCAGCAACTAGAACTATACAGTTTTTAGCATTTTTTTTTCAGTTAATGGTTTATATTAAAATAGTGCTTACAGTTTTAAATTTACGATTAAATGATAATGTTGTTTTTATGCTACAGAGCTTTACAGCAAAGATCGAATATATTTCAAGCAGCATACTCAGAGTACTTAGAAAAACGTGATCAATATGTAGAAACTTTATCTCAGTAAGTTGTAATCTATAGCTAAATCTATAATACATCCTAGTAATTATAACTGATCATGATCCATAATTGGTTTGATATTTACTATTAAATTATTAAATCTCTAGTGTATTGTAGCAATTACAAATGACCTTGAACCATCACTTAGTTTGATTATACTGTGAAACAATTATATCTATAGTGCATCTTAGCAATTATAAGTGACCATGAAACATGAACCATCATTCCGTTTGATAATTACAGTAAACAACCAAATCTATAGTGCATCTTAGAAATTTTAAGTGATAATGAATCATCATTTAGTTTGATATTTACTTACAAGTATACATTTGAGTAAAGGATTTTGTATTTAAAATTGATTATAATATTTAATTGTTGAGCATTATTTGCTTTTTCGAAATGATGAATTATTTTATATTAATTGAAATATCTGTATTTTATATTTTAGAATTGGTGAATCATTACACCTACAAACAAAAATACCTCTATTAAGTTGTTTACCAACAAATCAGGATGGTAGTCAACAAATTGGAGTCCTGGAGACATCAGGCAAGGCAGTGGGTGAAGAAGTGGATAGTTTGTTGACTTGTTCAACTTTATTTCAGTGGATTAATTCACAGGTTGGCTCATGTACTTTGTAATCTCTGAATTATAATCACTATCTTTAATCATAACATAATCAATACATAACTACAATTAAATACATTATTTCTACTGTCATATACTCCCTTTACTAAACCAACTTATTCATATTATTAAGGAATAGTGGTCTGAAGCCTTCTTGAGTTCTTTGTGTTAATAGAGTTACTTCCCTTGATTAATAAAAGGCTTTGATCCTAGATGGAATTCTGGGATGGAGTGAAATGGAAGATGGCTGTTTTTAATTAGCTCTTCTGATTGTCATAAACAATCCAGGCCATCTTGTGGCCTATACACCCCAATACCACATGGTGGAGATGCCAAACTCCCATTTCTAGTATGTAGAATCTGAAGAACTAGTTTACAAGTGATATTTTTGATTTGTTACCAAGAATTGACTTGTGATGTGAGGAGCATATTCTCCCATTATTCAACAGATTTTGGGAATCTACTTTATTCTGAGGAGTAAACTTTCATCAGAAGTAGACCTAGTGAGGCCTGATTAAACTCTATTTGTGTGAAATTAGTCATTCAGCAGATATTTGGAACCTTTATTTCTGAGAACTACAAATTCATCAGACTTGACTTGAAATAGTGAGGCCTAATTATAAACTCTATTATTAATTTGTGTGAAATTAAAATCTAGCCTAAATTGCTTATGTACAGATCCAGAGACATTTCAAATAATCCAAATGAATAAATCCATAAACATGTAGGCCTACACTGTGTTATAAGGCCTAATGGAAAATCTGTTTTGACATGAGTGCCAATTTTCCCATGTTAAAGTGTGGATGCCTAGAACTCTAACTACTACTAGCCTAGATCTAATTCATTTATAGTGACATAATTAATGAAGTATAGACTACAGTGTTGTACAGTGACAATCTTGGAATCAAGTTTGCTGTCTTGTGACTGTGTTGTGTAGCCTACAAGTGACATTATTTCAACTCAAGTTTGCTGTCTTGTGAACCTTTACTGAAGCCTGATGTATAAATCAATGACTTTTATCCCTAAAACTTGTAAAAGAGACAATATTTTTTTTCTTAAAACAGAATTGTGAAAGAAGGCTTTAGAAATTTTAATTTTGGCTTATAAGTAAATTCAAATTTACAACTTTCAAATTAATTTGGCAATATTCCAGTCAATTTATAATATAAACGTTTTCTGATACTATATTTGTGTGAATTATGCTGAATGGTTGTGTGAATATGTTATTATTGTTTCATGATCTTAAATATTTAGATAATTTGTTTTGCTAATTGATGTTTTCCATGTTTACAAGATGCATTATTTCTTTCTTTATTGGTTAAACTTGTAGTCATCCTGATTTGCCTTACACAATTTTTTGATAATAGTTGCTCATATAGTGAACGAATTAATCAAGGTCAATCATATTCAATGTTTGGACAAAATTGTAAACATCTTTTAACTATTTTTGATTATTTTGTATACAATTACAATTATGGCTAACCGTCGGAACGAGGTTGTTGAACGCAAGAGACCTCTGTCATTTGATAGATTTGATGGGTCCGTATTAAATAGGGATCTGGCCACTGCCCATTTTTTATCTTTCGAAGATTACCTTGAGTACTCTGATGAGGAGATGAATCCTCAGACAGTTCTTGCTATCAATAAGATGATAAATCTTTTCAAACAGTCTTTAAAAGGAACCGCGAGATTGTGGATAGAGGAGAAAATATTTCGAAGTCGTGAAGATTTACGCACGCAGTTTATTAATAGATTCTCCGAAAATAAGTCTTTATTTGGTTTACACCAAGCCTATTCCTCATTCACTTACGACTCTTCTATCACTCCTGCGGAAAATGTAGAAGGCTTGGAGAAATTAGCTACTCAACTTGGAGTAGGTCGCACCCAACTCAAACATAAATTTGTTTCAATCCTCCCTACAAACTGTCAACAAGTCGTTGCCATGTCAACAAATGACACAACTACTTTGAATGACATCACAACAAAAGTTCAGTGTTTCTTTGATATTAATAACCCTGACAAAACTTCTGGAACCGTAAATCCTAGTAAGGAGGTATCCTTCTATACATCTGACACAGATGATCTTTCTTCATTACGAAAAGAATTAGATGAACTTAAGTTGCATGTAGCATCAGATGATCATGTCAGACACCGATCCAAACATCCAAATTATAGTCATTCGTTTTATGCTCGTGAGCAATCACTTTCACCCAGACGACGCCCTTATTCACCTAGTCCCAAATCGCATACAAACAACCCTGGAGTTCGATCAAGACATGATTATTCTCGTTCACCTAGTCAGTATAGATCAAGACGTGATTATTCTCGTTCACCTAGTCAACAGCGATATTCCTCGTACACAAATAAGCATTCTAAATATGACAATAATTCTAGCCAGTCAGCTGATAGACCTATATTTTGTGACTACTGCTTGAAACCAAATCATACATGGAGATCATGTTTTCTGCGTCAGAAACAATTTTCTGCTAAAAGACAACAACAGGATTTTCAATAGAGGGAATTTATTCTACTGCTCGGAATGAATTCCCTAAATCTAATCAAACCAAACCTATTCATTCTACTTCAGGTAAACAGAATCATTCTAGTTCTGTTTCTATTCAACTTTCAAAACGAAATTATTGCAAAGGAGAATTTTTAGATGGTCATTCAGCTTTATTATTAATTGATAGTGGTGCATCAAGGTCGATCATTTCGTCTTTACTTCTTCAATCTTCACCCTATTTAAGTGGTTTGCCTGTTCATTTGTTGTCAAATCCGCTTAGCTTTAGACTTGGTAATGGCAATCTACTATTGTGTAAATATTCTATTAAGTTTGATGTGCTTATTCAAAATGTAAAGTTTACCATTCAAGCTTTTATTGCTGCCGATTTAATCGGAATTGATATCATCATTGGTCAAGAAACTTTAGCTGATTTGAATGGAAGTCTTAGTTTTCGTGACAATGTATTTCATTGTAAAGCTACAACCATTCCATTTATAACCGCTCATAGTGTATATGTCAGACCTAAACATTGTCGTTACATCACTGTTCATGGTAAAGTTCCTCCTTTGTTTAGGAATCGTGAAGTTGTCATGTATTGTGGCAGTCATATTTCTGATATGTGTCCTTCAACAATTTTGGTTAAGCTGGAAAGAAATAAAGCCATTATACCAATTCATAACACAAGTGCTAAAATTTTGCATATCAGACCTACTCGACCAATTTCATTTATATCCCTTCAAGATATTGTAAGTTATGATAATATTAACTTCACTTCTGAGTATGATCAAAATAATGTTACATCATCAAGTAATATTAAGTCTGTTTTCAAGTCACAAATTGATTTGTCCAAAAGTGTGCTTGATCTTTCTCAAAAAGACAAATTCTATGATATGTTGTGTCAAAATCGGGAAGCTTTCAGTCTTCATGGTGAAATTGGAAAATGCCCTGACATACAAGTTGATATAGAAGTAAACGACAATCGCCCTTTCTACATTCGCCCTTATCCAAAAACAGAAGTTGAGAAAAAGATTGTGGATCAGGAATTAGAAAAGCTTGTCAAACTAGGAATTTTAGCTGTTGGTCACCAGTCGTATACATCACCAGTTCTCATTCTACCTAAGAAAGGTACTAAAGAAAAACGTGTTGTTGTTGATTTCAGGTATCTTAATTCTAAAATCAAACGTCTTAACCATCCATTTCCCCTATTATCTGACACCTTAAAGAGGATTGGTCATGCTAAACCTAATGTTATAAGTTGCTTAGATCTGAAGTCAGCATTCTTTTCACTTCCATTATCACCTAGAGCCCAACAATATACGGGTATTTCATCATATTCTGGAGGCAAACACTTTTACTTTAAACGGTTAACACAAGGCTTGAGTGTCTCACCAGCAGTTTTTCAATCTAAAATTGATGAAATATTATCAACAGTTCCTGGTAGTTATTCATTTTGTATAGCCCATCATGACGATATTATCTTATTCAGTAAAGACAACGAAGCTCACAAGAAGCATTTACAGTTAATTTTCAGTGCCTTAATTCAAAATGGACTCAAAGTTACACCTAGAAAATGTTCATTTTTCTGTCATGAAGTGGTCTATATGGGTCATAAGATTGCGATTGATAAACAAGGTTTAGTCACACTGCAGCCTTTGTCTGATAGATGCCGCTCAATCCAAAATATCCCAAGACCTACGTCAAGTAAAGATGTAAGAAAATTCATAGGTGCTGTTAACTATGTTTCCAATTTTCTCCCATACTTACAGTCAGTTCTACAACCCTTGCATAAAATTTCCAGCAAGAAATCATCATTTAAATGGTCTGCAGCACATGAAGAAGCATTTGTTAAGGTTAAGTCACTACTTGTACAACCACCTATTCTGTACATGCCTAATGATAGTGGTAGGATTACCCTTTATAGTGACACCTCAAGAACAGCTACAGGATCATATCTTACCCAAATTATTGATGGTGAAGAGAGAATTCTTGGATATTATTCAAAACGACTTCCCAAGGCATGCGAGCGCTATTCAGTCACAGAATTAGAATTATTTGGTCTTCTGATCAATATCTCTAATTTCCAATATCTACTTAGAGGAGTTGAATTTGATGCTTATGTTGATCACGCTGCCATTGTCCACCTTTGTAACTCTAAACGTCCACCTTGTACCAACAGATTACAGAAACTGTTAGTCAAACTTAGTCATTATGCCTTTAAGATTGGTTACAAAAAGGGCACAGAATTAGTCCTAGCTGATTTTCTCTCCCGAAGCCCACTCGAAAGTGATTCGGAGATAGACAGTATTGTCCCTACAGCATTCGCTATTCTGAATCCAGTAACTGATAGACCTGTAACTCGTCAATGGGCCAAGACACATAACATTTCTGTACCTGCAGTTTTCCCTTCTGCCCAACATCAGACAGTATCACATAATTCGGTTGATACAGTTAATAATCAGCCTTCTGATGTTCAGAAAATCCCGACAATTTTCCAATCTCCCAAACGATCTCATATCAGGATATCAAATGATAGTTCTATTAAAGCATCATCTACCACACAAGACCCAAGGATTGTGGATAATGCTTTTCAACCTGAATCACCTGAAGAAATCGAGATACCAATTGAACTATGTATCCCACCTACACCTGTAGTTCATAATGCGGATAATGTTATTCGCACACATTTTCCTAAACAAGCTCAGCTAGATAAACTATTAAAAGTTATCAAGAAAAAGATAATCCGTGATTATAATTTACCAGTAGATAAAAATCAACTACGGTTAGAACAAGAAACTTCTCCATTCTTCAAACCTGTATATGATTTTCTCAGTCATGGTATTCTGCCTTCACACCGTAAAGCAGCAAAATCAGTCAAACACAAAAGTGAAGAATATATTATATGTGATTATATTTTGTTTCGTCTTCTCATACATAATGATAATACATTTTCTCTTCAGCTTGCAATTCCAGAATCATTATGTCATAATATTATTGCTATATATCATGATAGTTTATTATCTAGTCATCAAGGTATTGTAAGGACATATCTCACAATGCGAAAGTTATTTTATTTCCCTAGTATGTTTTCTACCATCTCATCATATATCACTAGTTGTCATAAATGTCAACAATTTAAAGGGAAAACAGACAATGTTCGGATGTATCATCCACGTATACCAACAGAGTATTGTACTTTTGATAAAATATGTTTAGATTTCAAATCTATGCCTGCATCACCAACAGGATTTAAACATATTATGGTAGTCTGTGATGAAATAACTCGTTTTCTTATCTGTATTCCCCTCAAAACATTAGATGCTGAGACTATTTGTGAAGCTATTATACAGAAGATTGTATGTATATTTGGTCCGCCATCAGTATTAATAACTGATGCCGCTTCATCGCTTACAGGAAAACTTGTCTCTATTCTTTGTTCTGCATTACAGATTGATCACAAACTTATCAGTGTATCTAATCATGGTAGTCTCATGGTGGAGAGACATATTAAGTCAATATCAGACTTACTCAAGTTCAATTTGAACCAATATGGTACCGACTGGGTTCGATATGTGTCAACTTGCACATATGCATACAATTCCTTTGTCTCCCCACAATTAGGAAAATTTAGTCCATACGAACTTGCCTTTGGTAAGCCACCAAAGAATCTTACTTCCTTAGCTTGGAATTTCGATGGAGTTAGTAAATCCTATGAGGAGTATTTAAGTCATTTAAAGCAAAAATTCAATGCTATATCATCTTCTATGCTTGATCTTCAACGTAGACAACAAGAACATCAAAATATAAGCATTTCTCACAGTATAAGTAAAAACCCTATTTATGGCCTTGGACAATTTGTCTATGTATTAAAACCATCTTCTTCATCTCTTACTTGCAACTCTCGGAAGATGAAGGCTGAATGGTGTGGTCCCTTAGTGGTTCACCAAATCTTGGACAGAACGCATTATATACTTTCCACTTTGGACGGAAAGATATTACAAGATGTTTATTCTATAAATAGACTTAAACCATGCTTTGTTCGTTCTAATGAGCCAAATAAACGTCTAACTCATATTGATCAATTACGAAAACATCTTGGTAAAACTCTAAATGGTAATGTTCATGTAGCTAATGATTTGACTTATCAATACACCGATGAAAATGGTTTTGTTTTGCCAACCTTTGCTGATCAAAATGTTGTATTTAATAGAGTTACTACACCTTACACTATATCTCAATGTGTGAGTTATCTAAATGATAATAAGAATTTAGCTTCAATATCTAAATTATGTCATACACAGATGGAAGAACAATTAAATTACCTAGTTGATGTCAATAATAATGATAATGTTTTTCATATCAAGAAAGGTAGAATTAAGTGTGGAAATCTACAATTGTTATTAAATTTTAATGACGATAAACCTCATGAATGTGAATGGGTCAATATAGACCAATCTCCATATTTAATTGACATAACTGAGAAATTACTTAGTAATAATAATCTTAGGATTACAGGAAAATTGAGTAAATATTAAAATGTGATTTAATAATGTTCTCATTGCATGTTTATACCAAATTGTTATTAATACAATTCTCTTGTTGTTAGTATACCTTGTAATGTATGTATTTTCAATCCTAATTCACATTCATTGTGATGTTCAAAACTATAGTTGATATTGTATTTGAATTTAGGAATAATTAACGCATGTTTGTTTATAAGATACCTCTGCATAAAGGTTTGAGCAGTACTCAACAATTTAAGAATTTTAAGAGACATGTAAATTGTAAAATTCCACTGACAATTTGATATTTTAAATGTTCAACTTTCATGTTTTTAAGCATTTTATTTGCTTGTAGTGAAGTATGATAGTGTGTGTATGCTATAATTTTGCTTCATGGTATAAGTTAACGTTTCATTTCTAAATTTTAATTCCTTACCGGAGTTTTTGTTTGAGACCGGGGGATGTCATATACTCCCTTTACTAAACCAACTTATTCATATTATTAAGGAATAGTGGTCTGAAGCCTTCTTGAGTTCTTTGTGTTAATAGAGTTACTTCCCTTGATTAATAAAAGGCTTTGATCCTAGATGGAATTCTGGGATGGAGTGAAATGGAAGATGGCTGTTTTTAATTAGCTCTTCTGATTGTCATAAACAATCCAGGCCATCTTGTGGCCTATACACCCCAATACCACACTACCTCAAGCTGGCTAAGTGAGCTAACATGCTATAGATCATATGCAAATCATGAGTTTGATAGCAGGTTTAAGGTTTAACATGTAACAGGGAGTAGGGTCACGTGGCTAACAACTTCATGTTTTATCCCAAGTAATTCAGTTTCTTTCTACTTCTAAAGACCTCTGCATGCTTGTCCCATGTGTAAAGTGGACTTTAAACCCCATTTATCACTTGTTTTCATTACAGGCTGATACTAGCAGTAGAAAACATTTTGAGAGTTACAAAAATGTACATAAATATGTAAAAAAATTTCAACTGTATTTATATAGACCAAAACTTTAAAGCAAAGTTCTTTCTGGTAACACAGGAACGTAACTGAAACTGTCATGTAGACTGTTGGTTAAAAATAAATTCAGACCGAAACTGGATACATTGGGCAAAACAGGCAATGCGCATGTCAACATAGCCAGAATTGTCTCCCCTCTTTCATATCTCGTCCAAGTTTGATTACACATATAACCAATGACGTAACATTTGTATGACATCAATGAATATAATTCTCACAAAATTAATTGGTAACGAATCCAATACTTATTATTTGAGAAACTTAATTATGAAGGTTTTATATTTGACAACAATCAGCTTTGCTATACTCAGACAATGCCTGTTACATATTAGATCAATGATTTTTGATGTTTGTTATTAATGTAGGATCCACATCATAGTTTACAAGATATGGTGGATAGATGTATTAAAGCTGCTGAACAGGTATCATTTATAATTACAACTTTTTCTTATTCAAGCAGAAAATTAATGCTTTTAATGTCAGCTGTTACTAAGGGCATTAATTTCAATGCACATTATATTGTTTCATGCCAGACAAGTTTGTCAATGATCATTAATTGTCAATTTCAACATTAAATACTGAACCAAATACCAGATTAATAGCATCAATTATTTTCTTGTAAAAACTGGTTATTATGAAGTTATTTTAAGATTTATAAGATCAATTATTTGGTCTCCTATAGTGAACAAACAAACAAACTTGTTCTTTTACATGTATACTAGTGGATATCGATTTTCAAAACGCTTACCAACGATTATCGGCAATATCGATATTTTCCGCCAGCCCTAACCTGCACTGACCGGGTTGTGCCCGTAACTCGAGAAGCGGTAGGCCAGCGCCACCTAGACTATATTCCTTCTCGGTCTGAGTTACCCCTATACTCCAAATTTCAGCCTCGGGACAGTCGTACTATAGCCGCCAACCCTGAACAGACAAGCAGACAGACAAATGACACAAATGTTAGTATAGATATATTTAGATTAACTCATGCTTTGTTTCATAGTTTGATGAAAGTGTAGCTGACACATTAAGTAAAGAAGTTAGTGGGGCTACAGAGGCTGTGAGTAATGCTAGTATGAAAGAAGTTAAAGGACTGGAAGACAGACTCTATGGTTTAGATCAGATTATGAGTGGAGCTAGAAAGATTGTGGAGGAACAGAGCGATATGGCTAAGGTAGGAATACAGAACAAAAAATGAGAAATATAATTATGGCTGATGTTTTATCTGGAATCCTTCTGTTAGAGGCAACAGACAACATATCATTTGATTGACAACATTTAGTTTGATTCAATGATAAATTATCCCACGATGTGACCAAACTTACCTTTACTTTTGGTTGGGGGTTGGGGTGGGGTGGGGCGGGGCGGGGGCATGGTTAATGCATGCGCATTGGATCATAAGGTCTATCATTGAGTCAACTGGTGTGGTTTCGATTTCCCTGTTGTGGGTGAGAAGGAGTAGGGTCATCTGTCCAACCTCGTGGGGTTTCTCCGGGTCCTCTAGTTTCCTCCCACTGCTAAAGATCCGTACACACAAGTGATTTAATGAAATAAAACTGAACCATAAAACCCTTGGCAGTCAGTGGATTTCGATACAAAAGTAGGCCATAGCGCCACTGTCCAAGCAAAATTTCCCTTATAGCACACTGTATGGTGTATTCCCATTTCATTTCATTTTTCACCTTATTATCAGTCTAATATTGAGATAAAAAATACATTTTGTCATACATTCAAGTTCATTTCTAATATATTAACACTTTCCTTTTTAAGGGTTTTGTTCAGAATCAGAGTCGAGTAACGAATCTTCGTGATAAATCTATATTACCTGATCTCTGTGCTAGTCACAAAAAACAACTTGTAGCTATGTTAAATAATCATAAAAAATTGCGAGATATCAAAAAGAAATGTCGAATGGCAAAAGAAGAATTAGCAGTAAATCTTCATACAAGATTACGGTAAGTGTATTCTTGGTATATATTATTATTTTCTTGTGTTAAATATATTCGCGCAATCAATGGTGTATTGAACAATGATTTTTATCTGAATTATGATTGGTTCAAAAACGCCTTAACAATAACTGCAAAACAAATTAAAATACATAGATATAGTGTGTTTACATAAAATAGTGTGAGTGACAGTTGTACCCTTAATAGCTGATTGACTAGTAGACTGAGGTCAGTGGTTCGACGAACTAATATGCAGAGGTGGGAACTTGAGCCCGATTTAAGTCACACTAATGACCTGAATTGCGGCTCGACTTGAAATATTTATTGCAACTATAGACTCGACTCCGAGTCGATATGAAAGAGCTTAGGACTCAAGTTGCGGCGAGGGGGCATAACTCTAACTTACCGTATTGCTGACTGGTGACTTGAGCAGGACTCAGGCTTTGTGAAGACTGGTCACTCGACTTGGTACTAAAGTCAGCGACTTTGGACTTGACTCAGAATCAAGGTGCGGTGACTTGGGACTTGACTGAAACTCAAGTTCCTGCGACCTCTTCCCACCTCTGCTAATAAGTCACACTAATGATGGCTTAGCATAGCAGTGTAGACTGGGGTAAATCAATCTACAGTGATGTACCATTATTTGGGATCAAACACTCATATTTGTTCACTTTTTGAAAGATGTAGTTCACTGAGTCCTCTCTTGTAAATCTTGCAAATTATTCTGTCAGCTTTATAAAATAAGAAGTAATTAAATTAGAATAATGCAGATTTTATTTTATAACCGTATTTGTAGAGAAAATATCAAATTCTATTTTATAATTGTTGATGTTTTATTTGATCAGAAAATATCAAATTTTATTTAGGTATAATTTTGATATTTTTCTTTTTAGTTGGGTGATGTTTGTTGAGAAGAAAATTTGTGATGTAGATGGTAAATTGACAATTTATCATGAAAGTTTACGACGTCTACATAAACAATTAGATATCATGCGGCAAATCGAAGAGGCACCAAAAGTTTACGCTCAGTTAGTAGTTGAAGTAGTCAGAAGACGAATGTTTTCACTTCAGTTCATGGAGGTAAGGCAACTATTAAACATTTGTAATAAAATAGGATTATTATCAAATACTTACATTAATGATATATTTAAAAGTACTTCCTATCTTCAATCCCTAATCCTAGTACCGGTAATTGTTTATAATCTTTTAGAATTAAATAATAACCTGTCAATGTACATTATACCCATATGTCTGATCTTAAATACTTACTTTTGGCATTTCCAGCTGAAATGAGATGTCTGCGTACAATAGACACTAGTTTGAAACCAAATCTTACAATGGTATTTAAAAAGATATTTTGTTCCACATTATTAACGTAATCTGTGCTTTAGCAAGACCCTTCATATTCACGTTCTGCTTTGATATTCACTAATTTCCATCTTTTTATGTGTTTTGTAGTGGGCAAATAATTTAGCAGAAGAAACAAAGCATCTTCATACGGAGGAGGTAAAAAGACGACAGTCCTTTCAACAAGAAATAGGTAATAAATAACAGATATCTTTGAGTTTTTAAATGTCTTAATTTCCAGTGTTCATATCTTATGAAAATCCCACTGGTAAATTTTGTATGTGTATCTGTATGTAATAGAACTATGTAACATAATATGTAACACATTATTTTTATTGTATTCTATTGTTATACTTAAATTTTGTTTGTAACATGTGAACTGTAGCAGGGATTCATGCATTAATGGGATTGAGCATATTTGGATGAGACTTGGTGCCTAATTATTTCCTGAAAATTTTATTTTATTATTTTCTAGGAAAACATTTTCTCCAGTCTTTGTTTCAAGGATTTGAAGACATTCCTCCACCCTATGCTGTAAGTATCTTATACATAATTATTTATCTTCTTCATTTCTTTCTTCTCCAGTTACAACCATTTACATTTCTCCGACTTTAATGTAAATTTGACTAAAGTGGGTTTTTAGTCAGGGCTCAGGACCAAGCGTTTTATTTAATATCAAAAGGGGGCCCATGGCAAAGTGGAAAAAACAAGAATGGAGTATTTTTAAGTTCATCCTTGACCATCAGGACCAAGCATTTTATTTAATATCAAAAGGGGACCCATGACCAGGTGGAAAAAACAAGAATGGAGTAAGTCCATCCTTGACCTTTTAGTAGGGAACCATGGTGGCTTAGTAAATATGGAGCTGGCTCACTAACCCAGAGATCCTAGGTTCGATGCAGGTGTTGGTGGAGAAAGTTCCAACAGATTTTCTTTCCTACCTGGTTTCACCTTGTCTGTGGTGCAGGACTGATTGCCTGGAAAGGTACAAAGAAAATATGTCTAGTCATTCAGATGTGATAAAAAAAACTGAAGTCCTAATGTGTACTTGTTGACATGCACGTAAAAGAACCCTTGTCAGTTGGAATTCAATAAGAGATTGTGGTTATGCTGCTGTGCAGGCAAAATGTCTGTCATAGCTGACATAGCATAATGCATTAGTCTGGTTTTTCCATTCCATTTCATATCTAATAAATTACATTATTCTGCATTATTATCAGCTTATTGACCAGTGCTACATAAGGAATGAATTATAACTGTTTGTTTTAAAAGTTTGTAAAAATTGTGATTTTCAAGTGCACAACTATTGGTTGTAAGAATCTACTGAATGTTAGTAGAAACTGGAAAGAACGCAGAAAGACCACTGTGTATCTATGATTAATGAGCTGATAATTTTCATTGCCATTGCTTCAGGAACATGTAGTTTTGATTTTGTATATTTAATCTGTATAGAGTGAAGCACCAAAAGAATTTGATCAGAATTTACCTGTGATAACAGCCCAGGATGTAGAAATGTTACGTGATGCAGTACCAGAATTACAAGATATATTTAAGTATGTATAGCATCTGCCTAAAGTAAATAAATAATTAGTATAAAGGGAGTTAATCAATGTATAAAACTCGTCAAACAAACTGGGAATCAGTGTAACGGACTGCTGATACGGAATTAGGGCAGAAGTGAATAAAATTATATCCGATTTGTCATTTGCTACAAAACTTTATTGGAACAAAAATTTAGATGAGATTGACACATTTGGGAGAAAAACCCAGAAAACTGTGCATTTGAAGAGTGTTGTGCATAAAAGTACTGGAATGAGGGTTCTTATACAAAATCCCTGAAAAATAAAATAGACTTTTCAGTAGGATAAATTTTGAGAATTTGTTGTATCAAAATCAGTTACACAGACAAAAAATGTAATGCTCTATTTCCATTTATTTTGCAGAGTTCCCAATGATATACCTGTAAGCCAGAGAATGTCATTCCAAACTGTTGGCACTAGTGTTAGTTTCCATAAGGAAACCGATCAGTTATTCCCTGGCTCAACACACACCTCGGATATAGATATTCTACATGCTAGTGGAGAACATCTATTTGTACATATAGATAGTAGTAAAATGTCTTTAGGTGAACAAGTGAAAACGTGCGAACCTTCGGAAATTATTTTAAGTCCACAAACGGTGTCCACAGTAGAAAAACCAGATTTCCCCATTCCGCAAAGTCTTTCAGAAACATTGACTCAAGAAATGAGCTCTCAGGTCAAAGGTGAAAGTGTTAAAGGTGAAGTTATGATCCCAAGTCCCAAGAAGCAAACAGACAGTGCTGAGTTGATTGGTTCGTCTGCATCAGGTGATTTAGACACTCGACGTTCTATCGAGAGTGACACACAAATTAGTGATAAAAGTGTTGGAAAGTGTGCAGTTAGAAAAGGACACCATGTGAAAGGTCATGCACTGTCTGATACATCCCCAGAAATTGAAACTTCGCAGGAATTCTCAACTGCTGATTATTACTTTGATGAATCTATGCCATCCTCCATGATTGATTCACCACCTAATAAATCGGCCACATCAGAAAAAGCACACTCCTCGTCAGGATCTGTTAGAAGAGAGATAATTATGGGCTTAGAGAAAGAACTAGGCTTGCGACAACAAAATATAACAAATCTTGAACTGAAATTAAAGTCGATGAATTTAGTGTTTAAAAAAGATTTGCCTTGTTTAAAAGAAGATTTTTTGAAATTGAAAGATTTGGTAAAAGACGATCATAGAACATTTGGTGATAGCTTTCTTCAGATACAAAAACAAATGTCTGATGTTCTGCAAAAATATTCAAAACATGTCAACCAATCGTACCAGGAATTAACAAACACAATGAAACAGGAACATCTAGCAGAAACACAAGAATTGAAAACGATAATTGCGACAGAACAAGAAATGATTGAAAAATTGAAAGAAGACATGGACGCTATGAAAAAAGTTATTGAAGAACAGAAAGTATCTTTAACTAATCTGGAGTCTAAGTCATCTACTGAATTGAATGAAATACGTAGTCAGCATAAGAAAACACTCGAGGAGTTACAACAAAAACATTTACTAGAGTTAGAGTTGGAGTTAGATAAACTGCGTGTGGATTTGAATGACGAATTAGTTCAACATGACACCATGGTTCAGAGCCTTCAGGAGAAGTTACAACAGTCAGAAGAAAAAGTAGAAACTTCTGTTCAAGAAAGAGAAAGAACTGTTGAAGATTTAAACAAAAAATTTCAAATTGAAAAAGAAGAAATAACTAAGATATTGGAAGAGAATTTCACCAAACAAAAAGAATCGGAAATAGAAAAATTAAAGGTTGAATTATTAGATGAACAGAATAGTAAAATTAAAATATCTAAAGAAGAAACTAGTCAAATGTTTTTTGAAAAGATAGAAACTTTAAAAAAAGAATTTCTTGAAGAAAAGGAAACAGACATTACAAATTTAACCAAACAGTTGAATGATAAACACAAAGACAATATTTTAGAAATCACCGAGAAATTAACAAAAGAGAAGGAGGCAGCACTGAACGAATTAAGAGAATCTCTTGAAAAGATACAATCAGAAAAACTATTAGTAATACAGCAAGGATTTGCAGTGGAAAAAGAAAAATTAGAAGAAAAGGCAAAACAAGATGTGAAACAGACACAGGATCAAGAACAACAAACAGAAGAATTGAAACAAGACACGTCAGAGGAACTGAGATTATTAGAAGAAAAATTAGAAACTGACTATAAACAGAAATTAGAAAAAGTAAGTTAATGTTTTAGTATTAATGTTCAAAATCTTGTGGTTAACAAGTTTTCCAATCTTTTATTATTAGCATTTTTTCACATGGAATGGGGTTATTTCAGTTTTTACGTTCATAGACAGTGATTTTGTACAGATATATTTGTATCTACTTTTGCCTTGAAGCCATATGTGTCTTATTTGTGTATAACCTGTCATTTCATTTCATTCTGTTTATTTTTTTAAGAGAAGTGATGGTGCATCGGATTTGTATACGCCCACATGGAAATCCATATGCTGTTTATGAAATTTATGTGCATTATTGAAATTAATAAAACAAAGAAGCCTATCATTCAAATTTCAACAATTTCTGTTTATTACTTCTAAGAGTTATGGCGCTTGTTTTACTTTATACGACCTTGTGAACGTTCCAGTCTGTATGAAATTTGTATGCATTATTTATAGTAAAATAAAAAAAGTCTATCGAATTTCAACAATTTCCGTTAAATCGAGAATTATTGACCTTGTTTCAATTTGTAGTACCTTGTGAGCACTCAGACATCAAAAGTTATCCCATCTGCATGGAATTGATATTTGTGTTGTATATGCTCCCATTACCTACAAAGAATAAATCTGTGACAACCCATATTGACAGCTAGGACAATTTGGCTGCTTATCTTTCTGAAATTGGTGAATGTTTTTTATTTGTTAACCATAAATATATATTTCCTTCAGGCTTTGAAAGACGAGGAGGATCGCCATATAACAGAAATATATAGTCTTCAAATGCAGTATGAGAAAGAGCGTGAAGATTCTCTAAATAGTTTCAAAAGAAGTATGGTAGCAGAGAAACAGGTACTTAAACTCAACTTAAACTCAAATGAAAAATGATTATTTCTTCCCATCATCCATATCCATTTACAGAAACATAATTTTTTTACAACTGTTCCATGTATATATATATATGTCATAAGAAAAAAGGGTTTAATTTTAATAATGTCCACTAACATTAATTAGGTCATTTCCAGTCTTAAGTTATTGTATATATTTATTTCAATAAGTCACTTATGTACAGGGTCAGAGGAAACTGTACTCTTGTAACATACAAGCATGGTTTTAAAACCCAATTGAAAAGCTTATTGTTTTTATATAAGACTTGTAATTGCTTTCGCTGAGCTCATGATAGAGAATGTATTTATAGCAATTCTCAGTTTCTCCCGTTCCCCCTTTTTGCAGTTTTTGCTAACTTTTTGCTCTAGAAACGAAGATGATTGTTTGAATTTACATTTTCTGCAAGTATTTGGTCTCCTCTGATTCAACGAATATTCATGATTTTGATGTGGAAATATTAGGAAATAGACATGAATTAGGGAAATTGCCTACTAATGTGACTGCACTGCTTATAGATTCCTTTAACCAGGCCTAGCAAAATCTCAAAATGGTGTACTCTCTGCAATGTTTTTGTCAGATGATTGTGACGTGTTGATTATAAAGATCAAACTTGATGTACCATATGTAGGGGGGGTGGATGGCCGAATGGTTAGCACGTGCGCGCTGCGCACTGTATCATAAGGCCTGGCATTGAATCAACTGGCGTGGTTTTGAATCCCCGGTTGTACGTGACAAGGAGTAGGGTCGCCTGTCCACCCTCGTGGGTTTTCTCCGGGTCCTCCGGTTTCCTCCCACTGCTAAAGACCCCTACGCGCAAGCGAATTATTGAAATAAAATTAAACCAATTTCAAACCCTCTTCTTCGATGCCATAGAATTATTAACATACCTTTCTGAAATTTACACTGGTTGTCAATCCTACTGATTTTCAATATCTTTCAAGAGTTTTTCTCTTGGTTACCAAATCTTGTTAGGAACTTTAGGTCATAACTGCTCAGATGTCTTGACTACTGGTAGACATATATTTCAATAGGAAAAGAGTTTTCATCTTGCATTATTTTGGGAGGAATTTGTGTGAAAAATGCAAGTATTGTGTGAATGTGACCTCTGATGGGACAAGCTCTTTAGGAATAATGGAAGCTTGTTTATTTCTTGCAGAACAAATGAAATCAACAAGTTTAATCAAATCAACACTTTGATTTGTTGCTTTCATACAAAAATGTAGTTACTATAGTGATTCAATATTTGAGTATTTGTTTTAGGTACAGTTTAATGATGCCGTAGAAAAAGTGAGTCGAGAAAAAGATAAAACAATTGAAGAACTGCGTCAACTTGTAGAAAGAATGAAGATTGAAATAGAAAACCAAAAATGTAAGCAGAATTATAATCCTTGAATGTGTTTCCAGGTTTCTTTTTATAAAAATTTAAATCAAATCAAAAATAAAATCATTTGGGTTTGTAATTGTATTTCCAATCCATGGCTCTTTAATTAAACATACATTATGCAAGAGGTAAATCTGCCAATTGCAGGTCTTTCTTTAGGCCTGAAATGTTATCTAAATTATTAATTAGACATTGATTAACTTATCCAGATCATAATCAACTCTCGATGGCATCGCTGTCCTGCGGTATTTACTGGATTAGAACCTGGTCTGCTGCTAAAGATTAAATCAAAAACTGGATAATCAAGACTATGTTTTTTTTGTCGTACCAACTTTAGTAATGATGATCGAGGCTAGGCCCAAAATTCAGTCGCTAAATACTCAGATCGTGGTGGATCGATATGACTGAAATTTTCAGCACATTCACTTTACATTATCTAGTTTTTAACTAACGGTATTATAGTGAGAACTACCAGCTCTTTATTTAATCTCCCATAATGTATCTTTAAAATAGCGAGGGAAAATAATGAAAAAAAAAATAATTGAGTTCTGTACAAAAATTATTTTCTGTAAATCCTAAATACAGAACTGTAACAGCCTATTAGAAATAGTAACCATGTAACTCTTTATAAACAAACATTATTTTATTGGATCGTTTATCAGCGAGCTTAGAAAAGATCGATCAGAAAGACCAAGAGCAAGATTTAGAAGAAATTTGGAACCAAAAATTACTACTAAAAGAAAAAGAGTTCAGGTATAACTCATCTTGTAGTCAGATCAAGATTTGTATGGATTGCTAATTATAATTAACTTCTCTATATTGTTAATTATGTCCCATCTAATTTCTCTTTATCTTTGTTAATTACCTTAGATTAATTACCTTAGAACTGTTTCCTATTATCTCTGTTAATTACCTTAGAAGTATTTCCTATATTATCATTTTTATTACCATGTAGTATTGTTACAGTATACATTAGACATGTATTACACAACTCAAAATGTTGATAATAAAAAAAATATAGAAAATTTTAGTAATCAATACAAATCTTAAAAATACTTATGAAAAACATCTACTAATTAGGCAACGTTTGAAGAGGATTCCCTTTCAAAGTTAAAATCATAGAACTTGTTACAGTAAGGATAATGAAGCTGCTGGTTGGTATTGCCTGACAAGCTATGTTTTTAAAATTCAGGATCTTTAAATTGTTTCTCGATAAGCCTATTTAAATTTATGAAATTTATAATTTTTCAATATGTCACTTAAATTTGAAGGCTGCCTTTCCGTAACCTTTAAGCCTTGGGAAAGAGTTAAAAGTCAAAGTTTTACATAATTTCTTTAGCATGACTTTTTGACGATGATTTAGAGATACTACTCACCTTTGCTGCTGGTGTGCTTATTATGGGACTGGATAAGGCCCTGCCTACATTACCTATATTACGCCCTCTGATTGTTATTTGCCTTGCATATTTTTGTGAATCAACAGAAAAAAGATTGATAATAAATGAAATTGTTGTGGTTCTTTGTAGTGCCATGAAACATAATCTAGAAGATGAATTAGCCTTGTCCCGACAACAAGTAACACAGTATCAACAACAATTAATGGGGACATCTGAAATGTCCTCAACACATACAGAAGAGGGGTATGTACAAAAACATTTTCGGAGATCTTTTTAATATACATGTAGTGTACGGTGTATGGTTTAAACACCGGCCTACATTCATAAAATGAATAGGTCACAAATGTGATTATGCCATTTGTTTCTGGTAAAAAACTACTTGCTTGTAAATGTAGTGCTATAAATTTGCACATTTAAAACTTACAAGAACCACCCAAAAAAAACCAGATGAAATATTCAAGATGCATAATGTAACAGCTAAATCTATCTATTGCAGGTCTTTTTTTTGTTCTCAGATGGCTGAGATATTAACTGGTTTAGATAATGTCTGCCATATCTTTGTTAAATGTTAAAATTGAAAATATAGACTTTGTTTATTGTTGTAGCAGTGGTACTTGACAGTCGAGACTATTCACTTAGAATAATGTCATTTGACAAAAATTTTCAATATATTTATTATCAATTTTTAATCTGTTATAGCAAGAACAGTCGGTGCTTGTCCATAATATATTCCAAGCAAAAGTCTGCAATTATAATGATAACTTGTGATAATAAATGATAATAATTTTGTTATATTTTACAGGGCAACATGTTCAGAATCAGTTTATAAATTACCAGTAGGTGATTTAGAAAAGGTTAGGATTCATATTTTATCAGTGATTACCAACACAAAATTTACTTCATAAACTATAGTGCTGAAAACATGATGTTGCTAAATGTAACTATGTGTACATGTACTTACTCAAAGTAAATCAATACAGCTTTCTGATTCTATTTTGTAACTGTTTATAGGGGATAGCTAATTGTGTGACTGTAAAACTAGTGTACATAAAGGTAGATTGAACTTAATAGATAATCATATTTTCTATCTTTTCAGAATCTAAAATTAAAAGATATGGAAATATCAAAGTTACAAGAAAAAATTGTAAGGATACAAGAAATCTATTAATTCTGATATATTTTCAATACTGGTAGTTGATATTTATTATTGGAATTTATTTAATTGTTATCACTTGCCTTTTTTATAATGAAGCTGATTGCCAACATCTTTTATTTGCTTCAGATCATATTCCTATATTAAGTACAAATCCTTCTGCATGGTTTAATAAAATATTAAAAAAAAAAAAACAAAAAAAAAAGATAAAAAAAAAAAAAAGAGGTCTCTAGATAAATTGAACTAAAAACAGGAGACGCCATTACTTTTACATATATTCTTGACGGGGCTGCAACAATACGCCAGGCCACGACACGATGCACATCACGATCCATAGCCTACAATACGATTAATATCGTGATATAGGAAATAAAATTTAAAAAATGCTGGTAAATTTTGAAAGTCTTTCACTGTGAAAATTCGAAGATCTGCTTTTATGATTATTTTTATGTGGTGTTTTCTCGGTCAACTGAATAGATTTCATTGCTGTCATGCTTAACAGGAAATCCTAAAAACTCCCATACTTTACTTGTGACTTATATACTTGGGGGATTTCAATCTCTATATTGCTTTTGTCGATCGTGCGACTTGAATTTGGTAATTCATTATGGCTCTAATAAGCCACTTTGTGTGTCGAAAAAGCCTTAACACACGCTGAAAGTAAAAAAGTTATTTTGCTCATGGACTTAATTACTCATTTAAAGGAATATCAGTCTATTTTTGTGAAATTATTATTTGGATAATGAATCCCGATACAGGCATTGATTGTATCGTGGATTTCTAAAACATCACGGTTCATCGATTCATGGATGAATTGTTGCAGCCCTAATTCTTGAAGAAAAGTTATAAATGTGTTTAATTGTTTTTAAAGATGGAGATGTCTATGACAGCCAGTACTAGAGTTGTAGCACAAGATAAAGTTTCTATTACAAGGTAAACTTAAAGTATAATTCCTACAAATGTTGATTATGATAGGGTTTCCTATAATATTAATATGTTGAACTCTGTAACACAGGAACAGCTTGAAAAATGTTATGGAATAGAAAATTATGTTTTTGTCCTAGAAATTAATTTTAAGAGATATTATATTGACAGAAGAACTGGATAATTTAAAAGGCCAATTTAGTTTGTTTACATTGACTTGCTGGAGAGCTGTGAAGATGAAAGACTATGATATAAAATTCAGGCATGTTTTGTTACAAGGGGTTCATTTGAGACGTCAAAGTTGTCGCACTTTCAAATGAAACAGCATATTTGTAGCAACTGTTTGATAAAATTGTAGTTTTCTAGGCCTTTGAGCAGTTATCTTCACTTGTCATGTGTTTGTAGTACCACCCCATATTCACCCTTAACAGTTATACAGTATTATGAGGTTTGTGCCAGAAAATTATGAAGGGATGTCTAATGTCGAAAGGAAAATTGATACTATCTTTTGACTGTAATTTTTTGGGGGGAGCTATCGGTGAAATTTATATCTCATTTTGCTTCAGATTTATACTCAGTAGAAACTAAATATAATCAGATTGATATCTCTTTATTTATTTAGTTGTAAAATAGGTGATTTGGTGCTGCTTTGTCTAGATGAACCACACGATCAGTATATTGTATTTACAGTACGAACCACCCTACATTTTCTACATAGTGACTGTCTAGAAATTCTTGGACTTAAAACAGGTATTTTATCAAGATATACTCAGCTTCAATTATCACCTAAAGTTCTGTGTATACGCAGGCTTCAATATAAAGATTATCCTTGATGCAGAATTTAATTAGTGTACCTCTTGATGAATTACTGTACTGAATTATATATTCATTTTAGCTGCAGGGGAACCAAGGAAATCTTGGATTCTAGCCGAGATTACAGATAAAGAATATTGTCAAGCAAAAAAAGTGAGTAGCCTGTTTTGGGGTGGAGGGGGGAATGTGGAGGCACGTTTTGGTGTACTGCATTGAACATTTGTAGTATGATGGATGTATATTGTCGTGTTTTTTTGCACAGGTGTTAGAGGAGGACTCAAGTACAAGGACTGCTCTGGGCGATCCAAACCCTGTCTACACCACTGGACACTCTAAAATAATATGTGCATTCTTTACATAACTGAGAAAAAAATATGTCTATTGAATTTCAGTTATTTGTGATGAATCCTTTCAGACTTGTATTTGGTCATCTGTGAAAACCTTAAATTGTTTTAATGGCATTAGTAATTGAATTGGAAATACATGGGATACAGTTATATGGATTACATTTACTTTTTACTACTGAGCTCTGTTTAAGATTTTGAAATTTATATACATTGTTCACATTATAAAATTATTTCAAGAACCCCCTCACAAAATTCCGGATGGTTAACTTTAAAAGTAATTCACCACATTATAGATTTAGATTGATAGATTAATTGATAATACATAATTTTTTTCCAGTCACAGAATCGGTTTAAGGTACCTGTAGGGACCAAGTTTTATAGAGTAAAAGCCAAACCATGGGTACGGGATGCTGCTACAGCTAATCAACCTTCCACCTCTAGTAAATGATATAATGTGGTTGAAGTAGAGAATTAATTAAACCTATTTATTTATTACAATCAGTTCTTTGACTCATTAAAGTTTTGTGTATTGTATTTTTGATCATGTTTAACCTATGATTTTCTTTGGAAGTACAGTATACTTTGACTTCTGTTCATACCTTTGACATTTCCAAATTTTCTGGGTTAAATTATTGGAAACGTAATTGAAATGGTTAGAAGATTAGGCAATATTGCTTGTGCACCATATTCATTTGATGATTAAACCTATTAAACTAGAGTGTCTATTTCTCCTGTCTGATTTAACTTGAATAATATCAGAGTTTATGAATAAGAAACACTTTGATTTTAAAACTTCAATAATCCCACTAGTTGTGGGCATGTGTTCTGAAGTCTACATGCTTCACTTAATTCATTTGAGTGTGAAAAATGTAAATATCAGAGTTCAAATTTTGACAGTTCATACAATATTTCATATATTGAGCACAGTTTTTACAAACAGTAACAGATATAGCACCACAGACACCTTGTATATTGTTACTCTCAGTGCTTGTGTACATGTCAGATGATTATTTATAACTCTCGTAAATAAACTTTCCCTAAATTAAAATCATGCTTCCTCTTTTTCAATAAAAAATTTATATTATATATCCAAAGACATTGTTACTTTGTAGATTTTTTTATTAGTGATTTTCTTATTACATTTCAGTAAATTTCATGGTTGTTGCACTGTTTTGATTAAAAATGATTTTATTAATAGTAGGATATCACAAAAAATATATTTTATATATAAAACAATATGGAATGCTGTATGTTATTCTACTGAAGTATACCAGTAATCTTGTAGCTCACAGATATTTCTGTGAAATGGCAAGTCCAGGTTGTATATAAATACTGCTATCATATACATCCATATTTTAAGATGTTACAGTGTAATGATGTGTATGTTTAAATTCTATAAAAATAGTTTTCTTTATTATGAAGCAAGTAGCTTTTATATCGATTTTCTAGTAGTTAGAATTATATAATTAATAAGAGCAGTACTCTCAAGAGTCTCAAGTATTATAAAATTATTTTCTTCCAAGAAAGCAAACAATATATTGGAATAGTTGAGCTTTTGCTGTGTTGTAGTAGACTCTAATTTAGACTCTAATGTAGCCGTGGCTATGTGTACAGATCCGGAATAATAAGAGCACCATCGGAAATATACAAGCCTAAAATTGCCAATTACTTAATCCTTATAATGTGCTAGTCCTGTATGTGAATATTAATAATCCACTAAGTAATAGATACATATGTACATTTACAATCAAGATTTGTGTTCTTAATTCAGCCAATCCATGTAAAATATCTAAACGAACATTTCAACCAATAAACTTCAAAATCTGTAAGCTTATAGAATTGTTCATACTTGTCCTTCATAGGATTAAAATTGTAAATAATGTACAAATAAATGTTAAATAGTCTGATCAAAAACCATTTCATGTAAATATAATTTTTAAATCTTCTTGATAATCGTTTTTTTAGATCCATTATACATATGCTTTAACTCAACATGTATTTAATTTAGAATATGTTTAAATTCAAACTTTGGGTTGACCCTCAAGTTCAATAGAAATTGAAGTTCAAATTATCAATTAACTATGCCATCTTAATGGAAAATTAGAATATTTCTGTAATAAAATCTTGTAAATCTTTCATGGAGGGCCTACATGATTGACATTATATTGGATATGCTTGAAGTTTATGCTTGTACTATTATTTTGTTTTGCACATGTATGAAGTTTGCCATGTCAAAGTTATTGTTTATTAGTTGTATGTAAATGTAGGCCTACATTATTATTATTTCTTTTTATGTAAAGTGCATGGACACAAGATATTCAGATGCACTATCAGTAATACATTTGTTACTCTCTATATTCTGAACAGGGTTTAGAAGAAACAAATGAATGGAAAATAGTAGTTATTCTCCTAGCTTTTTCATGTTTATAATCTACTAGATTGTTACTGATACATGTTTAACGGTCTTAAAGAACTTGTATCCAAGGGCCTAGATCTATATTCCTGGTAATTTAAATCTTTCTGTGTGTAAATTTTATGCAGCATTATCACTATATAATCAGCTTGGGGCTTTTCAAAAAATTAAGTTGTGGATAAGTTATTGCTTAATAATAATTTCAGTCTTTTATGTAAATATTCTGTCATCAGGAACTTGTGTGATTAGTTAAAATCAATTTTATGTATATTTTTTCTCTTCCAAAATAAACCAGTCACCTTTTCTCCATATAAAAATTGACACAGTGCAATGACCTTTAGTGGCAGCGTGATTCAAAGGTCAATGTAAAAAAAAAATAGTGAAGGTTGAATTTTTGTTTTTGTGATATCAATGTGTACAATTAATATTTGTTATTGCGGAAGCTAGTGAGTTTTTGTATTTAGTAATTGTAAAATTACAGGGGTTTGTATCCATTATTAGACAATTATTTCAGGGATGGTTAAACTTGATTTAGTTTCAAGGCTTATCATGACAAAACTGTAAGTACCTTAAGCCAGACTTTACTCCAAAATATTATGCATTAACGACTTTGATTAATGTCTTCACTATATCTGTTTGGAGATTTTATTCCGAAGCATGATATTTTGAGTCCCCACCAATGTAAAAACAAAATGGCTTTGGTCTAAAATATTTTCTCTTACAAATAATTCACAAATGTTTCAAACCCCTGTCCCTGTGTGTGAAATATCTATACTGTGTGACTGTAAATACGTACAGTGTAACATTATTTATCTTATTATATAAACATTTTAATACGATGTAAGTATAAAAGTATACATTATTATAATATAGCAAGTATTAAACATGGTTATAAATTATAATTATTTGTGTGTTTTATGGCAAGATCTGATGATGTAAAGTTCATAGATAAAGGGGGAGTTGGAGGAAACCATACAGAACTTACCGCTTGTATTTGATCTTCTCCAACTACCCCTTTTTTTGTTGTCTTTGTCTCATCTCTTTGAAGAATTGCAAATAAGGATATTTGTTAAAATCTTGTGTTGAAATATAAAACTTAGAGACTTACTTCATTACCTTAGTTGAGAAAACATTTCCAACTTAGCCGGTTTCTGTCCAGCTCCTATATTGATTTGGTGCAGGAAGGAGGGCATAGCAAGGAACAGCATTTAGTCATTCAGATGGTAGATTGATGTGCACGTAAAAGTACCCTTGACAGTTGAAATTCAAACTGCTGTCTGGGCAAAATTCCCCTTACAGCCCACTGTATGACATATGCCTTCATTAGCACACTCGGTGCAGAAAAGTAGGATATTTATTGAACCCCATTTCATTCAATCTGTTTTTACCCAGATATACCAGAAGCCCTGGGGCTGTAACCATGCTAGCAAAGTAAAGTGGAAATCACCTTATATGTATTTTAACCCCGTTGCCACCCACAAACACTATAAAGACACATTTTTCTGAAGTCATATCTTCAGTGTTAGTTATATTGATTTTAAGGATGACTAAAACTATTAATGGCTGGATTAAAATACTTAGTCTGTTGTGTGTAAATACAGGCAAAAATGGCTAGTTTACAGCACCAATGTTACACTATTCATGTCAGGCTCTAAATACTTATCAAAGAAACAGTATTGTTACCCGGCTAATACCATATAAAAATATAAAAAAAAAAACCCCTTTCATACCAGTACTAATTACCGAAAAATTCTGAAAAGCCCTAAATACCGAATAACAACATGATTTACCGAAAAAAAACAACTAAATATTTAAAAAATAAGGGACCCCATTGAATTTCTGGACTCGCACCTCCCCAGATCCTGCTTTTAGGCTCCCAGTAGAGGGCTTCCCGGGACCCGATCTGACAGTCGTCACACAATTGAAATAGCCTGGTGACTCGGTCTTTTCTAATTTGAGAGGGAAGGCCAGGAAAAGACGACTGTATATGCAAGAAATTATTTCTGTGGATTTTGCTTCAGATCGCAGCTAATATGATATAGATTTTCATGAAATAATGCTTACAATCTGCATTGGGATGTTTTCTGCCGTCTGAAAATAACCCTAACCCATGACCCACCTAGAGTGCCCCACAATTTTTTTAAGTGGCCTAGCCTGACCCTTGACCCACTTACAGTGCGCCACAGACCTTATGCGTTACCTAGTGTGACCATAGAGCTATTATAACTCTATGAGTGTGACCCATCACCAACCAGCGACGTGAAGTTAGCTTATTGTTCGTGTTCGCCAATATGAAACAGCTTGTTGTTCGGATAGAAAGAGAGGTTGTTAGAATCTTTTTCCCCAAGACTTTGAAGTTTTATAATCCAAGTAGGCTCATAAAAACCCATTCCCGGCGTATTCCCTACAAAAGTTCCTTTATTATATAACTAATTCCATATCTGGTGAATAACGAACAACAAACCAGCTTGTTGTTCATCATTCGCAAATACCGAACAACAAACTGGGTTGTTTGGGTAGAAAGACGGGTTGTTAGAATCTTTTTCCTCAAGACTTTGAAGATTTATGAACCAATTAAGGCTAATATATTACTAATTCCATATCTGGTGAATAACGAAAAACAAACCAGCTTGTTATTTGTTATTCGCCAACCGAACAACAAACTGGCTCGTTGTTCGCCAATTTGAAACTGGTTATTGGGGTAGAAAGACAAAATGTTAGAATCAATTTCCGAAGACTTTGATATGTTATTAACCAATTACGCTCATAAAAACCCACTCCTGGCGTGTTCTCTATACCGAACAACAAACTGGCTAGTTCGTTATTCACCAATATGAACCAGCCCGTTATTTGGGTAGAAAGAGAGGTCCTTTGAATTTTTTTCCCAAGTTTTACAATCCAATTAGGCTCATAAAATCCCATAAAAATTCCATATCTGGTGAATAACGAACAACAAACCAGTTCGTTGTACGCTATTCGTGAATACCAAACAGCCAACTAGCTTGTTGTTCATGAATACCGAACAACAAACTGGCTTGTTGTTCGTTATTCGTGAATACCGAACAACGAACCACAAGCTAACTTCACATCTCCTCACCAACCCAGAGGGGGATCACGTGGTTAAGTGGGTAAGACGCTGGCTCGCTAGCCTGGAGGTCAGGTGTTCGATCCCCGCATTGGCCGAGAAAGTTCATCCAGATTTTCCGGCGTGGTTCCCCCTTGAGAGGGATGTAAGACGGAGGGCCTGACAAGGACAACTGTCTAGTCCTTTGGATGAGACGGAAAACCGAGGTCCTGTGTATATATTGGAATACAGGTAAAAGATCCCCTGGCAGTTGGAATTCGATATAAGAGTAGGCGATAGTGCCGCTGTCCGGGAAGATTTCCCTCATAGCACACTGTATGGCGCATGCCCGTCTTCATTAGTCCAGTTTAGGAGCAGAACAGTAGGACGTTAAACCCCATTTTATTTCATTTTATTTCACCAACCCAGAGTGTCCCTCTATATTTCTGCTTGGCCTAGTGTGACCCATTACCCACCTAGAGTGTCCACCATTTTCACATGAGACCCACCTAGAGTGTCCACCATTTTCACATGAGACCCACCTAGAGTGTCCACCATTTTCATGTGAGACCTAGAGTTCCCAACAATTTTTATGTGTGGGGAAGCATGACCGCTAAAATTTTTAGGACGTTAAACCCCATTTTATTTCACCAACCCAGAGTGTCCCTCTATATTTCTGCTTGGCCTAGTGTGACCCATTACCCACCTAGAGTGTCCACCATTTTCACATGAGACCCACCTAGAGTGTCCACCATTTTCATGTGAGACCTAGAGTTCCCCACAATTTTTATGTGTGGGGAAGCATGACCGCTAAAATTTTTTATGTGTGACTTAGGTTTTTTTTTTTTTCATTTTTTTTCATTTTTAAGATATTTTTGGCAATTAGTATACACCTAATAAAAAAATGTTTCTGTATTTTTTTTTATATCTTTATTCAGCATTTTCGGTATTTTTCGAGACTTTTCAGATTTTTCGGTGTATAGCTAGTCCAGTCATTGTTACCCTGCTACTCTGATTTCAATTCAACAATTCACACTTTTAAAACATAAATCAAACATCCATTGATATTTATTGACCTTTTATTTCATTAATCTATTCCTTTAAAACAACTTTAACAGAAATAATATTTTCAAAACAAAAATTCAACAAACATATAGATTTGATTTTTATAACATACAATAAATGATATATTTATAAAAAAAATTATAGTACATAAAACTTTAAAATTCATTATATTCATGACATTTTTCATGTGAAAAAATAAAGTTCTTTATCTAATCAACAAAACAGTTGCTCATCGATGTCCATGTCTCTATCCTCCCTTTCAGTAAACACTGGATCCCATATTAATATATATTTGCTAATATTTTAATAACTTTAACATGGCAGCCTAGTTTGATTTTATTTCAGCTGGTAGTTAGTGTTAAGTGCTGGCAGCTTCTTTTTTATCATACTAATTAAATTTTTAATTAACAGTACATGAAAACTGGTGCGACTCAAACATGGTTTTGCAAGTTTACAACTGGTCTAAAGATCATGGTCACTAATGAACACGTCATCACTAAACAGAGCATTTCCTTAAAAAGTACTAAGTCAGAAAACAACAAATTGTTCATTGAACATTTGTGATAACTAAATCTTGTTCGTGTTCTGTTCATTGATGTACACTTTCAACATTGTTCACATTAAATCATCAATTAAGCAGTCTTATAGAAATAAAGTCTGTAGACATTTTCTCATATTACTTAACTGATGCTGTTGCTGAAAAATAAAAGGAAGGAATTAAAAATCTAAAGAGTATAAGAGTATGCATTCAGCAGACTAATTCTGGTTTCAGGTGTCTGCTTAGAAGCTTTTTTTTTTTTAGATTAATCAGTCATATTAGGTTGGGGAAAATTCATTAAGTTAACTTACTGTCTCCTTGAGTAAGCGTTGTTGAAGAGCTGTCATATCTTTTTTCAAAACAATTTTATAATGTTCCTGAAATGGAGATTTAAAACATCAGAGGATACATATAGTTATTTCTTTATCTTTTAATATAAGTATAAAAATAAAGACCATAACAAATGTCCTATTCTTAAATCAAATTCTCTAACCTGAATCATGTAAATGGAAAGGAAATCTTTCTTCTTTTCTTTAATTTTATTTATTTGAAAAATGTACAATAAATAAATCTGACAGTAGCATTAATCAGTTGTGTTAATGTTTGTTTCAGGAGATATGCAAAACTGAATCAAATAACTCACTTGTTGCTCACATCCTTCGTCATCAACATTATTTAAATCTTCTTCTAAATTTTCTTGATTTCGACTTAAATTTTTTACTCTGAAATAATATAAAACAATTCATTTTTGCAAATTTCTATCTCTATTCATTACAACACAGTAAGTATATCTTTTCCTAAAAGTAACATGCATGTGAATGACATCAACTGTTTCTGGTTATTTCAAACAATGTTTTGATAATCATATAGGCATATCTAGATTATATATGTGTAAGTATTTAAAGGCATTATAGCTATGAAAAGCTTTCTAAATATAAAAAAAAAACCAGCTCACCTCTTTTCTTGAGAATCTCTGTAAGTTTTAAGCAATTTCATTTGTTGAGAGAAGAAATTCTGAAAAAATCATAATGTAAATTTGTGAAATTGTTCCCTAAATCATGATACAAAAATGCCCTAAATCCCCGAACTATCACTCACCCAGCTATACCATTTTTCAGTTTCACCTCTATAAGCTTTTATAGTATAAACTAATTTGATCATATACATGTTCAGTATTAGTTTTTAATATTGTGTATTAAAATAATAATTACCATGGTTCTGTCTTCTTCATCTTTCATCATAACTATTTCTTTTTCTAATATTGTTAATTCTTGTAGCATTTTCTTTTGATAGTTCTCTAATACCTCATTTCTATAAAAAATGAAATAGTCATTCATTTATTAGAGATCACATATGAACTTTGGTACATTGATATGCCCATATCAAAATCACATCCAAAGACCCTATCATTATTTTTGAACAGGCATCTTTTGTATAATTAAGGATCTATATTTACAACTGAATATGCTAGTACAGTAGTAGCATACTCGATTGAAAATTTCAGAATTGAATTCCCTCAATCCCACAAACAGTAGAAAAATGGGACTTACAATCAAGTTCCCCCATAATATACCTTTTAGTTTGTTGCTTTGACCAAATCTTAGAAGCCATTTTTTGTGAGGATTTCAATGTACTTTTCGCAATAGATTCCAATTGTCGTCTTTTAGCCTAAGGAATGAAAAAAAGTATCTTATTGAAATCTTTTTATCAATGTACGATTAAGAAATATACATTATTTTATTGATAAGGAAGTGTATAGAAAATAGGTCATTTTAAGTGGAATAGCCCTTGATTATTATATTATTTTGAGGGTGTAAGAGTGATTTTAGGGTAATTACTCCATACTTTTATTTTATTGTTGTGAAAGAAAATGTGTACTGATTTAAACGTGACTAGCAATAGATCTTGCTTTAAATCACAAATAAACCTACCCCGGCCACCAAGTAGTGTTGTCACCACTTTAACAATAAGTGTCAAATTAGGCACTGTTAATATCTTCTGTTCCTTATTACCTGTAATTGGTTTTGAATATCCACACCAAATGTTCTAACGACAGCAGTAACACCTGTTTTTACTGATAATTCATCTTCATCATCTACATCCAATTCTTGTGATTTATCTGTCCCATCCGTTGATACAGATATAGGATCATTATCAACTTGTTCCTGTTTTTTGTTTCGTTTTTCACAAACTGTTTTCTGTTTTGTTGGCACCAGCTCTTCGATGTAAAAAGTATTGATATAAAATAATGGTTTTTACACCAAAATAAGCAGGGCTTCACAATATTTTCTACCTTTTAATGAGATCCTGATGCAGAAGGGCATCATCCAACAAGAAGGAAATGAAATGAAATGGGGTTTAACGTCCTACTGTTCTGCTCCTAAGCCAACAAGAAGGAAAACAAAATCTTATTCAGAATTCATTTAATTAAAAAAAAGTGGTGAATAGTCTTCAGTTCACTATATCTCTATTAGGAGCCATGTTGACACCTGCTGCTTTATTTCAGTATCACCATAATGATGATATATCAATTCCATGTACATAAACAACGTCATAAACATAAATGAAACACAAAAACATAATATGGAACACAATAATTACTATTTTCATTAATAAGTAACCAACACTTGTAGAGTATATCCAACCTAACATTTCTGGCTATGCATGAGATAACAATTAATTGTGCCTTTTGGAATAACAAGATGTTCAGCATACTTACCAGATGTACATTTATTTGTTTTAAATAATTTTCTGGGAATAAAAGAAGAACCATTGAGATCCGTTTGACTGTTATTATGCGTTTCACTTGGGGTATTCTGTTCTTCTTCCTCTTCTTGCAGTAAATAAGATACTTCCTAGTTTTATGTTAAAGAACAAGCCAACAGCCAGGCTGATGTCTCTCACCGAAATCCCAAGATAAATAGATGGCACATATTAATTAATTGCACATTTGTCTTTTTCAAGTATCGAGCAATCAAACCGATTATCTCTACTTAGTCTAAGCATAAAATGTTCACGATAAAACTCAGTCAAGGTTTTGAAGTTCTTGGTAGCGAAACTATACAGTAAGTTTCCTCACTCTCTAACAGTTAGAATCAAAGTTATCTTGTCCCAAAGCATCTGTAAGCAGAGAATCTTCATCATCAAACTCCATCAATGCATTCACCTAATAAACACCTACACCAAGTTTGAACATTCTACCTCAATTGGAATAAGATTTACTATGTTCCAAAATCTCAACCAATCAAATTGCTTATCGCTCTGCTTACCCTGAGCAGAAAATGCTCATTATCAAACTTAGTCAAGGTATTGATGTAATGAAACTATACACCAAGTTGGATCAATCTCACGTAATTAGAACTAAAGTTATCGTGTCCCAAAGCATCAACCAATCTAATTGCTTACCTCTGCATACCCTAAGCAGAAAATGTTGATCTTCGAACTCCATCAAGGCATTGACATAATAAACACCTGCACCAAGTTTGAACATTCTAGCTCAATAAGAGGGAGAGTTATTGTGTTCCAAAATGTGTGACAGACAGACGGATGGACGAACGAACCGATTTCAATAGACCGGACAAAAATATCTTACAAATTCCATTCTGTTAGTGAACGAAAAATGAAGTCCACTAGAATTTCACCATATTTCCACACATGAACACAAGGAAATAAGGTAAAAAGCTTACAAGTGTATTCATTAAATACTCTCTATCAACTACAGCAGAAACAACTTTAAGTATCATCACTCTCAATCAGTTCTAAGCAGAGCTATCGTGTTGTGTTCCAAAGTATCGTCAAATCAAATTGCTCACCTCTGCTTATCTTAAGCAAAAAATATTCATCAAACTCTATACCAAGTTTCAACAATTTACCTCAATAGATGCAGACCTATTATGTTCTAAAAGATGTGATGAAAAGACGTACAGTTGCTAAGCCTATGAAGAAAATGCTTGTCATCAAATTCAATAAAGACATCTACCTAATGAACTTCTACAGTCATTCCATTTTGAACATCTGCACCAAGTTTGAACATCATGTAACCTTGATTAGAAATGCTCATCATCGGACTCAGTCTTGACAATCACCTATCAACATCTACCCCAAGATAGAACATCACGCAGAAGCAGAGTTATTGTATCCCAAAAAGTGTGACAGACAGACAAAGCCATTTTAATAGTCCCTTTCTTTCGTCAATTGTAAGAGATTATCACCCAATATCATTGTCCAAGGATACAGGATATTTTCTTTTTAGTGTAGATTTTGTAGGTCTGGCTCTTGAAGATGGCCCTGAAAGGTAAGTATCAAAACACATGAATAAAAAAGAGGTTGTATCTCTGTTGAGGTGTAAGGAAGTTGAACAGTATACATAAAATCTAACCTGAAACTAAGCCAGCTTTACTGGTATTTCTTTCATCCGTAGAAATACAACCAACATCTTGATAGATATCTTCATATCTATCTTCATCATCATCATCCTCACCATCATCCTTTATTATTTCCTATTAAATATAAAGATTTACCACAAAAGTCAAATGTGTTTTAGACTTTGAAAGTTTCTGAACATGTATGATATTAATTTATACCCAATGGACTTTACCAATCAGGGAAACGTGGCAGGTGTTTGTTAACCCTTGTGGGTTCACGTTACGTACAGATATATTTGAATTAAAAGGCAGCAGTTTAGTTTTTATTTGCCTTCATATTTGACAACTGAAAAACAACTAAATTATTTTACAAAAACATTTTAGTGACATTTGGAAAAGATTTAATAATTCTCACAAAATTGCTACTTTGTGTACTATGTGATAAAGAGGTTAAAATGGCAATTCACGCTTGATACAAAAACCATTGAATATCTTGAATTCATCATTTAATTTTTGGTATTTGTAACATGCAGCTGCTAAAAGAGAGAATACTCTGGCATACGCAATATGGTATTAGGCAGCAAATACGTTAGCAAAATCCCTACGTTGAGTTGTTTAAGTTAGGGGTCCGATTGGACCCCTTGTTATCTTCAAGCGTTGGGCCTGATTTGCATGTGACAGAACTCTGCATGTGGGAAGCAGATGAATACCGAGTTCTTCACTACGTGTAAAAATGTATAGGAGACAAAGTCACTAAATTTCAAAAAGCAGTGCCAAGTAGTTATTACACAACACTATAAAACATGTGCATGGGGTCCACGGAGACCCCACGTGCACCGACAAGGGTTAAAGATGTATTCCTTTGACATCTGATGTTCTGCTTACAGCTGTAGATTGGAGACTATAGCCAAACATTTTATCTTACAAGAGTACTATTCTATTTAAAATATAAAATAGTGCCATTACTTGTAGCATATTAAATATTTAATATATTTGGTGTTGTAATTACTTTTAGCCTACAATTTTACATTCAATAAAAAAAAAATCAGTTCTCAATTAAAAATTGTCTTTTAAATAGCAACAGATGACAAAAGTAACCTTGAGAGAACATGTTTAAAGATGCCTTCAATTTTACTGCTGGATTTAATTGAGTATTATCATAAAATATGTACCTGGATATGTTTAGGTGTAGCCATCTTTAAGAGTTCTTCTAGTGAGAGTATCTGTGTTGATGTAGGTTCTATATGTGGTTCAGATGATGTACTTTGACTTGTAATAGTAGGTTGACTATCTATCATGGAAATCGGTTGACTAGCATCTTCTATATTAATCTTATCATCTTCATCACTCTTAATTAAAAGTTAATGTTCATGTTTGTAAAATATACTTCCCAGTCCACACAGTGTTTTTCTAGTATCTTAAATTGTGCTTTCAGTATGACAGCTTACAACATTACCAAACATATCTTGTGCCCTAGGCACTACACCAAAAAGGCAAAAGGGAGCTTGGCAATCCAACATTTTGTCAAAAAAATTGTGTTCCATAGTAATTTTATCAAATTAAAATATCTAAAGGCCTCTAAATCATGCTACTTAACCCTTCTGACACCGACACCCTGAACAAAGTTAGGCCTATATAAAAATGGCCCCAAAATGTTTTTTTTGTAATATTATGAACCCTTATGACCTGAGTGTTCGAAAAACTGGCTAGAATACTGAGCAGCTACCACAGATACCTATTTGCTACTGATTGGCCAAACAGGTACCCGTACACCAGCTGACAAGGAGTAGGGGCACCTGTCCAACCCGGTGTGTTTTCTCCAGGTCCTCTGGTTTCCTCCCACTGCTGAGGACCCCTAAACGCAAGCAAATTATTGAAATAAAATTGAACCATATGTAAGTCCCAAAATGACCTAGTTTGTGTCAAGTGGACGTTAAACCCCATTTCTCTCTCTCCCTTGTACACCAGCTGGTCTTTTGGCCGCTCAGGTCCAAATTAAGGGTTAATTATCTTTTGATTTGTCTGAGTATTGCTTGCAGTGGAAGAGAAGAGTGGTATGTTTGGGTAATTTAAAAAAAACAAAAAAACTCCACCATATTTTAATTACAGAATCTATCCCTCTTATATACTTAATATATATACTTAAACTATATATACCTCCTGATATTGTTTCTTTTGTGATTTGTTTCTGTGTTTCTTTAATTGGACAAAGTTTGGAGCTGTTGCAGCATCTTCTGAAACTATGAAACAACAATAGCAATAACCATATGAATGTTTGAATGTGATGGTACTTAATTCTCTATGACTGTATACAGGCCAGAGGTAAATAAAAATTTGTCTTCATCTGGGCAAAATATTAGCGGCCCATCATTGCAGTATTCAATTGTGGAATACAAATGCTTCTCTTGGTTCAATTTGTAGAATGTACAATAAAATTATAAATACCTATACAAAGAGAAGGCAGACCGGGTGTAAGGGGTGTTCTAGTGACTTGGGGGCTCATCTCCTTTCTGAAAGCTTGAATAACACTCCTTGGTGTACGTGTATCTGTATTCCTAATCATGGGTGTTTCTTTACTGGTAATCTTTGGTGTAGAACTTGAATCCTTAAACTTGGAAATACCTGTTTTAGAAGTAATGGAATTACTTATATTTGATGTGATCACAGGCACAATTTTTGGTGTTTCTTTTCCTTTACAAATGTTTTTCATATTTGAAATCAGCTTTGTAACAGAGACTTCCTGTAAAGACAAAAAGACATGATTAAAGTACAATGTTGCTTGGACAAAAGGAGAGAGCGAGCGAGAAATGGGGTTTAACGTCCACTCGACATGAACTCGGTCATTTTGGGACTAGCACATGGTTCAATTCTATTTCAATAATTCGCTTGCGCATAGGGGTCTTTAGCAGTGGGAGGAAACCGGAGGACCCAGAGAAAACCCCACGAGGTTGGACAGGCCACCCTACTCCTTGCCATATAGAACCCGGGAATTGAAACCACCTCAGTTGACTCAATGGCAGACCTTATGATACAGCGCGCACATGCTAACCATTCGTTGGACCAAAGGAGACATGTCTTCCACACTTAATAGGTGAAGGGACATCTACCTTACAATCATTTTTGAAATGTGTTTGCTAACTAGTTCTATCATATGTGTCAAATTGGTGGACACCAACATAGTCAATTAATAAAAATTGTGATGCAATCTACTTTTATTTTGAATATCAAAGAGAGAAGAGTGGATGAATGTTGCTAAATAAAATATTATGTTTAAATAAAATGTCTAAATTTGTCCCTTTGGTGCATGCAACATGACTTGGAGAAGAAGTTACACATGTAATTTAAAATGACTCCTTTATTCAGGTGGGCATAATTTAAATACCTCCTCTTCTTCTGAGGTTTCAGCTTGTTCTTCTGATGATTCTAATTCTTTGTTTCTATGTCTGTTGACTTGTTGTTTGTGTTTGTCAATAGATCTATCTTTATGGTATGTTTTCTTAAATTTCTTTCTTTTTCCTGATGATTTTTTCTCCAGCCAACTTACTTCAGACCTATTGTTGATAGAGTTTTATACTTCACACAATATTAATAATAAGCAAAAATAAAGTAAGTTATCTGAAGTTAGTCTATGTCAGTTTTCTCTGGGTACTCCAAATTCCTTCCACTTTTCAACACAAATGCATAGTGGATTATTGTAATAAAAATAGGTTGCTAGGCAAAAAAAAACCCCTGCTTAAAACTGCATAGTCGTCCGGGCAGTCGACAATTAAAGGTTGTCAACAATTTATTATTTTGTAGGTAAAGGAAACTAATTAATAAGACACTAAAAATGATCAAGAGTAAGAACCCATGAAGAAATTAGCAGAAATAATGAAAATTAGTTCTAACAATTTATTCGAAATATCTATCTGTAATCAGATAACTTTATCAGAAATTATTGAAAACAATATTGTCTATAAAATTGTTTATTATACATTATTGTGTATAATAAATTGTGTATAAACTGCTTATTATATTAAGCTGTTTATCAATTGTTTAGCATAAATTATGTATCATAGGGTATCATAAACTGTGTATTATTAAACTGTTATATATCAATTGTGTAGCATAAATTATGGAGCATAGGGTATCATAAACTGTGTATTATAAACTGTGTTTTATAAACTGGGTATGTGCATTATATTAAAATTGTGTATTATTATAAATATAATATCTATTTGTATTTAAGTCAATCCGGTTATAACTTTAGCCTCAATGATCAAAAAGAGTCATAACTTAGTAATTATCAATAATTAATTATTGAAAAGCTTTGAATATCAATAGGGTTCTTTATCTTTAGAGGACTACATGTATATATATCGACTATATCAAGTTGTATCGAGTTCACAAATGAACAAAAAGATAACTCCATGATTTACCATCAAAATATTGTCAATTCTAATAATATAATGTTCCTCCTTATGCCCTAATCTACTTGTTTCTGTATCATAAATAACAGTAAAAACAGATACCTCTGGATAACACCATTGAAATATACGATCTTAAATAATTGGGAGTTCAATGGTTCTTCCTTACGGTCAATTGAATAACCTTCAAAAGTTTTAAAAAATCCTGTTGACAACTCTATCCTGTATCACAAGATTTCATAAATTTGAAGGTAAATGGGGAGATAACAAAAAACTTGTAATGCCTAAAGCGATTTCTTCATAGTCCTAAATTCACAAGCTTAAAATTTTGAAATTCAACAAGGTTTTTTTTTATATGCTAATAAACAATTCCACTAAGTTTTTACATTTTTTGTAAAGAATAAGTTTAAAAGTAAACAGGAAAATATTAGGTCTACAGACAGTGTAGTATGGTGTGATATATTTGTAATGAACAGTAAATTATCAACAAACCTTCCATCTATCGATTTTCTACTGGAAATATCATCCTGAAACCAAAAAATCAAAATAATTACAGTAAAAAGAAAAAAAAAAGAACACTTCAAAAGTAATCCTCTTTTTGAAAATATATAAATCTTCTATATAGACAACAATATATCATGGAGCTCATTGCACACTTATATTTGGCAAATTTTTGGTTTCATTGCTATTCGTAATTTCCATTTAGAAAAAAAAATATTAAGATATCATAAGATGCATGACAATGAAACCAAAGAATTTCCCACATATATCTGTATGTAACAAGCTCCTTGATATATACAGTTGTCTATACTGCAGAAACAAACAAGAATTGTTACTACCTGTAACCAAATATGTTATTACAAATGGCATTATAAGAAAATGTCCAATGATTTTTTCCATTTCAGAAACAGTATTGTATGATTGTTCTACTATAATAACACCACTGCTGATTCAGTGATTGAACTACAAGAAATATGAAAGATAACTGAAATTACATCATCTGATTAATTTTAAAGAAAAAAACTTACATTTTTTAATGTTTCACATGACTTGAAACTGAAAGAATTTACAACAAATATAACAAAGTTTATGGCTACATAAAAGTAAATAAAAATAATTTATTAAATACAGTTATATTATTATACAACACATGTACCATACAAATAATTTTTCTAAAAAAGGTTACCTGCATTGTTTGGACTCATTTGATTTTAATTTCATTCTATCTCTCTGTTTAGAATCTAATATCAAGCCCTGTAGATAAATAGATACAAAATAATTGTAATTGGTAAACTTCAGAATATACAGTAATCGAGGTAGATATAGCAAAATCAAAATAAATCAGCTGTTAGATTTTGGTTGTAAAATCTTAAATTTATGGTCCGAAAATAAAATATGTAACCATTTACAAATAATATTCTACTTACAGTGCACATAGCAGTAAATGTTTCAACGGCTCCTGTTTTATTTTTATCATCTTTATTAGAGGCATGACATGTTACTGGTGTTGGTAAAGTAGATTTAGACAGATTTAGATCAAATCTTGGTGTTTTCTATAAAAAGGTGAATTTACAGATTGACACTATCCAAGTACATGATAGTTTAAATGTTTCAATAATCAAGGGACAGATGACAATTTTTTCACAAAGAGGCGCACCTATATTTTTTCTTACCCAGATAATTAATTTTAAATATAATCAAGCTATAAATGACCTAACTACATAAAGATCTTACAATAAAAATTGTTACAACTAATTTTAGATATAATCAAGCTATAAATGAACTAACTACATAAAGATCTTGCAATAAAAATTGTTACAACTATGCTAACCTCAACTGATTTTTTCTTTCCCCACGAATCTCTGTTGAATATTGTAAACTGATCAGAATCCTGTTTCTTTTGTGTTTCATCTAATAGCAATGTGTTTTGTTTATGTTTAGAAGTGGTATCTTTATGAACATCTTTGTTTTTTGCAGGGAGATTTTCCTGCAAGGGGCTATTGGAATTAGAACTGATGTAATAAGTTTGATTTGTTTTAGCAGAACGTGGAGCACGAGATACTTGTAAATCTGCAGCACTTACATTCACACTTCTCATCAAATTTGGAAGTGATTTACTTGACTGAATAGATCCAATGTCCATAGTCACACTTTCATTCAATGATTTTGTTTTTGTTTTATTTTTAAATTTTTGTTCTGTACTTTCATCTTCATCATCAGAAAATCCTGTATATGGTTTTGCATTATTTTTCTGATGTCGCCACAAAGATTGTTCTTCACTTTCAGTTTTGTCACTACTTTTCTTTTTCATAACACAAGAGTCATTTTTTCTGTTTGTATCATCTTCCTTCTGTCTACCTTTGAAAAATTTATTTTTCTCACTTTTGGATTTATTGATAGGAAGTGTATTTTGAGAGTCAGAAAAGGCATCATCAAAATTATATGGATCTTCATCAATTTGTTTACTTTCATTTCTTTCTACAAAATTTGAACTTCTATAAGAGTTTGTCACCACAGTTCTAGTTTCAAAAAAGAAAGCTTTTTTAGTTGAGCTCATTTGGGTGGAGTGTGTCTGACGGTTTTCCTTTCTTAATACTTTCTTTGGACTTTCCCTGTGGATACTTTCGGCACTTTGGCTTCTAAACAGGCTTACATCCTGTTGAATTGATGTATTTTCTTCTGCTTTACGCCTGCGCAATGACCGTGTAGAGCTCTGATCAACAGTTTTTGATGTTCCTGCCTTATTTTTGTAATTTCTTTTATTTTCATTTTGTGCCTTGAATTCAGTTTGTTTTATATTTTGAACTTCTGTCTCCTTTTCTGCTTTTTTAATTTTCACTGCCTGTGGTTTTTTTTGTTCAGAGTCTAAATCAATATCCTTTTTAGTACTTTTCGATTGTAGTCTGGTAGTTCTCCTATATTGGCTGGAATTTACATCATCTAAATTTATATCATTCTCTGATTTACTTTTATTCACTTGTGTCAATAATTTGGAACCAGTTTTTCTACCTTTTGAAATGTTAAGAGAATATCTCAAGGGTTGTTTTACAGAAGCTGGAGTGTCACACAATGGTTTATCAAAATGGTACAATGTTTTTCCTTTTGCATATTTAGTGTTAGTAATATTAGTTGAATTACTCTCTAATTCAGCTTCACTTACAGTCCTTGAAGGACTCGAAAAACTAGAAATGCTCTTCCCCTTTCCATATACAGGCTTGGTTGAATAGTCACTCAAATTTGACAGTGTAGCACCGCTTTTATCATTTTTCCTTGAATCGGTTTTAACATTAGAATTATTTGACAGAACAGAATTTTTGTTACCTGTGTTATTCTTAGATTGATCTGTGTTGCATTTTGAATTGGCAATTAATTTACCTTTTCCATATTTAGTTTTATTTGAATCTAAAGAATCATGGCATTTCTTAGAAATTGGATTTTCACATTTTTGTGGGTTCTTTTTGTAAGTTTCATTAGAAAAAGATTGTTTAGGGTGAGATCTTACTTCCTGTTCTTCACAATGTTTGTAATTATAGCTTTTGTTTGACATGATTGGACTAAATTTGTTCTGCTTCGGCAATAAACTCTTTGGATTTTGAGCTAGACATTCTGTATTCCTTGTTTCTAGAGAAGCCTTATTGACATTTTCCTCTAGAATGATTTCTAATGATTTGTCTTCTTCAACACCAGCTATTTCTGATGATAGATCACTTATATTGTCATCTGATTCCATACAGAGTTTAGTTGCTTCTGCCACAGACATCAGTTGAGATCTGGTGACTCTTTGTTTAGGATTTACTTGTTTATCAGCAATAGTTGGTACCTGTTTCACATGTATATCTCTGACTGACTTATCTAACTGATCAGGTTCAACAAGACATATACCACTATCAACTTCTCTTAACTTCCTACAAAACATAAGCTATATTCAAAAAATGTGTTTAAAGCATCAAACAGTAGTTGCATGTAAATAATCAATAACTATTTAATACAAGATAGGTTGCCAGGCAACATTTGTCCTCGACCTTTATAACATTGCTGGTAAATACAAAATTCTTGAAATATACCTGATGTTTTGTTTTTTCTCATGACATTTCATAGACTGTGAAGGTAAGGAGTCCGGGATGATGACATCATCATATTCTGAATTGATTAAAAAAAAAGAATTTATTTTTTTTTTTCAAGCTACTTTGTGGGTTTTCTCCGGGTCCTCCAGTTTCCTCCCACAGCTAAAGACCCCTACGTGCAAGTGAATTATTGAAATATAATTGAACCATTTGTTAGGCCTGAAATGACCTAGTTTGTGTTGAGTGGAAGTTAAACCCCATTTCACTCTCTCTCCTTTTAGTTACCCCATTTATCATCAAGTTATATCCATTTAAAAGTGGACTTTAAATAAATAAGATCCCAAAATGTTCACAGGCAAGTAAAATGATCTCCCAGATGATTTCTATAAAAACTGACAAACCTTTTGGAGGTAGATTTTCTTTGTTGGCATCATGGCTAAAATCATCTGATGTCTTGGTAGTTTTTTCTTTCACTTTTTTATCTGGTTCCAATACAACGATAGGAGTTTTAACCCTTTTCTTGGATAGATTTTGGTTTACAATAGGTGTTCTTGGAGAATACATGCCTACAAATATTATTACAGTTACTCATTCACAAGAACTTGACTTTATAGTACATCTAATATTACTAATTACATTTTGATGGGTGTGTAAATGAACAATGGATATATTTTTTTCTGAGAATCATGATCAAAAATCAGATACACAAAACAAAAAAACATGTGGATAAAACAAAATTGTAAAATAGTGTCACGCATTGTCAATCAAATATTGAAAATAATATCTAGAAGCACTGTTCTTAATTGGCTGTTTTTTGTTGACTTTAGCCAACTGATGTTTAATCTAGTCGATTAATAAAATAATAAACCGGCCACTATGGTATCATAAATCAATCTACTTTCGGCTGGTAAATTATTACTTGTTAATAAAGAAGTCAATCAACTTGCTTGTCGGCTACAACAGTCATACCTTAGTGAGAATCGGCCATGTGGTTCATAATCCAAGTAGCCTAATTAGCACGTTTAACGGTAATTTTGATAATCCGGTAAAATAACAAAACAAGCTTGCTGACTAGTTGTTACATAAATTAAAATCTTAATTGAATATAATCCCCTGATAGAACACCGAATACACTGAGAAACAGTCATTAATAAATATATTTTCCTAAGGGAATTGCCAATACCAAATTCCAATGACACGTGAGATAACAGTTGGAATTAGGTCAATAAACCAGTTTTAAATAGAGTTTACCTTTATGATTTTTATACACATGCTGACAGAGGCTTAATTTTAAAATTATTGTCGTTATTTTATTTTAAATAAATTTTAATTATGGTTGTCACATGACAATTGTGCCGTTTGTCTATTATTGACAAATGAATAGAAACTTTTGCAAGTTACGTGACTAGTTGATAGACAAAAAACTACAATTTGTGTTAAGAAGAAATGCCAAGGTGCCGTATCAGCTTATTTGGGCTACGGCATTTTCTGATAGTGGCAATAATAGAAAAATGCTAATATTTTAGATGTCGAATGAAGAAACACGAAGGTTTCATCGAATAAACGAAGACAGTAATTTATTCAGGAATATTACTGATGTGAACTTCAAGGTGTACCTATTTGTTGTTATTTTTGTGGTAATCACATACATTAGAATACAACAATCAGACCTTTTAATTAAGCCTTTTTCAAAAAACAACTCCGGCGATAGATCTTTATGGAATTCAATATCAAACGAAACCAAAAGTGCAAATTCTATTAAAGGTTTTAAAAAGTATCTCAAAACCAAACTTTTTAATCAAATATACAACTGATTGAATTTGAATACGGTTCTAGCTGTGTTTGTGTCAGACTTTTACCATGTGTACTAAATAATGTTCTCTGTTTTTTGTTTATGTCTTTTCTTATGGATTAATGTGTTGTGATTGTTGTAATTTTATATTAGTTGTACTTATGTAAAGCGCCCGAGAGCAGTTCGCTGAGTTGAATTGTTGGCGCTAAATAAATCAATTATTATTATTATTAATTATAGTTGTTTTTACTTGATGAGTTTGGTTTAACTGTAGCCAGAGCAATGTTGGTTTTTACATTCTGAATTCTGAGCTCTGACTCTGCTGGCATCTTTTCTCTTGATTTAAGAGTCTCTTTGATGGATATAGTACTAGCTGGGGTTGACATTGGTAAAAAGGGTACAGATACTTTATGCCGTCTCTGTGTTCCATCAACTCCATTTGAAGCAACACTCATTTGACTGCTAGCAACTACCTCTGGATCAATGTTTGATGGTTTCTGTGGTTTAGGGAGACTTGAATCAGATAACTTGATATCCAATGGTTTACATACTGCTGAGGCTTTCCTCTAAAAAAAAAGATAGGAGCAAATTATCATAAACAGCAATTGTTCTTTAAGGCATTCGATCGGAGCAAGTCTTTTATGGAGCATTTATATCATTTAAAAATGGTCAAAACTCAAAAGTCACTGCGTAATTGTACATGCTACTTAGAATAAGTTCATGGCTATATATTGACTCTAAATCATGTACTTAAGGTCTCTCTGTCTTATCAATGAAAGGAATCACTCTCCTTATTTACATAGTCACTCAACTTGTCCCCACTCACGGGAGATTCTTTAGGAGACTCATATATAGAAAAATGGTTTCTGAATGATTGGCTAATGATCTGCTCAAATTGGTTACTGCACTCTTCTAGCATTCTCTACTATTTCAGGGAGATCATGCACATCTATATCAACCTAAAATTGTGTTTCTTTAATAATAATGTGGCTATTTAAATATCTACAGTCACATATAATTGTATCCCAAGAAATTTCCTCCTCATGATATTCTAGCGTGTGGTTTCCCCTTGTCAGTAGTATAGGATGAAGAGCCTGGAAAGGGACTGTGTCCAGTTGTTTGGATGAGACAAATAATCAAAGTCGCCTGTTCACATTGGCGTGTACATAAAAGAATCCTTGACAATTGGAATTTAAAACAAGATTAAACTGTAGCACCACTGTCTGTGCAAAATTTCCCTCATAGCACACTGCATGGCATATGGCCATCTGCATTAGCCCACTAGGTGCAGAAAAATAGGGTGTTAAATCCAATTTTATTTTATCTTCTTTGTTGTGCCAAATTCTTAGTTTTGTCATACGGTAGGAGGGATGTATATTTTTTGTAATAAATCTTACTCGACTTATTGAAAGTTTAATATAATATTGTCAGTAACACGAAATATTAGTAAGAGAAAATAAAATTAATTACCCCAGACTTTTCAAACTGACTCACAGTTTTATTAACCGCTGATGGCAAGTTATAAGCCTGATCAGCAACTATAATTAATTTATTTCCTTCAATATTCCTCATCTGAGAGAAAACCTCAGTGACATCTGCTGTCAATTCAAATATACCACACACAGTATGATTGGACTCTGAAAATAAAAACAATAAGTGTGACCTGTGCTGGCATAATGAGTCGCAATGAGGAAATTTGGAAAATTGAGTTATTGTCGTATTCACATTCTCTGATTCAATACCTTCAAAATGATGTATGGTTGGTTGATTCGGACAAAAATTGACTGAGTTGTGTCCATTTGAAGCTGCCCAAGTCAGGAAAGTAAGTTTTGAGAAAAAGCAGGTTAAAGATGTTGGTATGTTCCAAAACAAAATCACATGGCAACCAGGCAATTTATTTGCTATTTAGTCGTTTAATAAAATATTTCCTGTGACAGTGATACAATTTAGAACAAATGAAATACTCCATACTTTAGTAATCCATGTTTTGTATATTATAGCTTTTATGAGAATAACTTCTGTTAATCTCATCAATTAATTAGCACCTTTAGTTGTGAAGAGATTAAAATTGTTTATTGGGTAATCAAGTTTAAGAGAGAGAGAGAAATGGGGTTTAACATCCACTCGACTCAAACCAGGTCATTTCGGGATTAACATATGGTTCAATTTTATTTCAATAATTCACTTGCGTGTAGGGGTCTTTAGCAGTGGGAGGAAACTGGAGAATCCGGAGAAAACCCACGAGGTTGGACAGCCGACCCTACTTCTTGCCGGGGAATCGAAACCACACCAGTTGACTCAATGACAGACCTTATGATACAATGCGCACACGCTAACCATTCAGCCATCCAACCCTAATCATTTGTAAGAGATGCTTAGTTTCCCTTTAGGGTGTTTTGGTATAGTGAAACAAACGGCAGAGAATTTTCTCACTCGAGATTCATCCCTTTTCGACTTTTTCGTTGTTCTAATATTTCTGAACCTTGCTGATACGTATAGAATTTAAGTATTAGAATTTCCACTTACCTGTAAATGTGTAAGAATTAATATCGGTACGTAAAATACTGACAGTCTCCCATAAGTCATCTTCTTCTGCCTAGAAAACACAAAATCAACAACAAATAAGTATTGCATATTTACACATTATTTTACAAACGCTATTCAAAAATACACTAAAAATATCTGTAGTATCTGTAGATAGTTATCAGTACATAGTTCACTATCTTAAACAATAGTATTCCTTTGCATTTACATACACATTTATCACTAGCTTTGTCTACATCTAACTAAATGTAATTAATTGTAAGGACCTCTTTAAGGTGACTAGTGATTTTCAAGATTCAATGACTTGTGATTTTCAGGTTTAAGCCCCCTAATCCCACAAATAATTTCATCTGTCTCATGTAACTAAAAAAAAAAAAAATTACTTTCAATTAAAAACAGAGGGAGTATTTACCTGTGAGCACTGCAGCAGTGAATCCTGCTCACAAAATACTGTTATTCTCTGACTTCCATAATTAAAATCAACCCAAAATTCATTGTAGCCTTGATCAGAAGGTTTCTGAAGCTGTAAAAAATCAAAGTCTGTTCATATCGTTTGTTTCGTTAATGAATAATTCACAATCTTTTAAAATCAAAAACACACTAAGCATAGACTACGGTTTTGCAGATGTGTTTTATTATATATATATGAAATTGTACAACTTAATTTTTTAGTTTACCGGTGTATCATTTTTTTAATACAAATATACTCACTGATCTGCTTCCTAACTGTACACTGATACATGGTATAGACATTACCCTGAAATTACATACTAAATTATATACTAAACTGATTTAACTGGAAGTACTGGCAAGACATATGCAGCTGAAATTTGATATTCGGCATGAATGTAGGCTGGACATTTATAGACACAAATCAACCACAGCCCACAGATAGTTAAATTATGAGACCCTAGATTACAGGAGAAACTTTGACTGTCAATTTGGATAAATTTGATACAAATAATGGTGACTTTCACACATGTAGCCAAGTTTTAACACAAACACATACCTTTTTCTTTCTCCTAATGAAGAATTCAAATTGTTTAAAAATGTTCTACAGTCCTGTAACAAAAGAAAAGGGAAAACAAATCATTATGGAGCAAAAACTATGGCAAAGAAACCTGTCACATTGAAAATCCGACAGAGCTAATACTAATCTATTTTAATTATTCATATACTTAGCAGCAAAAGAAACGTCAGGTTGCCATTGGTATGTTACTCTGAACAGACGCATTGCATAAAACTTGCCAAATGTTTTTATTGTATATTTGTGACCACATCTCCAACTTTACCTGAGCAATAAGGCTCCTTCCCAAACACAGAATTGAACCCAGGAAATGTTCTCAAAAACGCAACCTGACTTCTGAGATGGTAATGTGTTCTCCATGATTTTCATGTAACTCATGCTGCACGTGCTATTAACCGGGACCAGCCCTATAAAATGCACCCCCATACCTGGTTTAATCATTTACACTACAACGTCAGCAGCATGCCACGACTCACGACAGCTCAGAGGAACCAGGCGCTTGGTAGACTTGAAGCTGGCCACACTGCCAAAGCCATTGCCAATCACTTCTAGGTCAATGTTCGGACCATCTACAGGCTTCAGCAACGCTTTTGGGCCACCAACACCACGGATGATCGCCCCAAACTGGTAGACCAAGAGTTACCACAAGGCGACAAGACCGCCATGTTGTGCGACAGCACATGCAAAATCCCTTCACACAGGCATCTGAGACAGCACGTCAGACAGTGGGAACACACGAAAGAACCATCAGTACCGATACAGTGCGCCGACATCTCACCAGAAAGAACATCCCATTGCCGTAGACCTTACTGTGGACTGATCCTCATCCCTCCCCATCGAACGTGAACGTCTGCACTCTACAATTTGCCCATCAACACCAGAACTGACGACACAGGCAATGGAGAACTGTTCTGTTCACAGATGTGAGTTGGTATTGCAGGACCAGAATATGTCGTCAACGTGGCCAGCGTTATTCTGGCCAATGTGTCATGGGGAGGTCCAAGCATAATGGTTTGGGGTGGAATCGGCCTAAACCAGAGGGTGGGTCCTGTGGTGTTCCAAAATCTTGGTCCAGGGAGAGGAGGCGGCATCACAGCCATGCGCTACATCGATCAAGCTCTCAGACCCCAAGTCATACCACATTTCGCACTTCATCGAAACAACGTTTTCCAGCATGAAAACGCCCATGCCCACACCGCCAGTGTTACTCGGGACTTTCTACAGCAGAACGGTGTCAACGTTATGCACTGGCCAGCCCTTAGTCCGAACATAAACCCGATTGAACATCTTTGGGATGAAATTCAGAGAGACCAAACACAGCCGATGGATTGCGTCAGGCTTCTCTGAGAGTGTGGTTTCAGGGGCCAATGGCGTTTATCAATCGTCTAGTCCACTCCATGTACAGACGCTGCTCTGCTGTTATTGACACTCGCGGTGGACCCAACAGATACTGATGCATAGACTGTGTACAGACTCTAAACCTTCTCGTAATGTCTTGGAATTGTAATGAATTATTCACTAATGTATGAACATACTGTTCACAAAAAATTGCTTTGATCCATTTAGTAAGTCGTTTTCTAGAATGATTTGATTAAAGTGCCTCTCTGATTTTGAAATCGTACTGACGTTTTTTTTGCTGTTTAGTATATATATTTGTTTTTTTCTAGGCACAATTTTTATGATAATGATGCTCTTTATTTTTAAGATTTGATTATACTTACAGTTTCAAAATTACTGTCCTTGATGAGAAGAAATGTTGCTAAATGACGTGGGTCTGTGATAATTTGCTGACAAATCAAGCTGCGAACTTTTCTTGGAATCAGACGAAATAAACACTCAATTCCTCCAACTTGAAATTCATAATCTATAAAAGACACACATGAATGTTAATTATTATTACACTTTTCCTACAATGCTATAGCAAGTAGTTTATCTGGAAAATAAATATTATTCCACAGAACCCTGGAACAAGTGATCAAAAAAAAAACTTTCCCAAAGCCTTGCATTACCTATAATTATAATTTGTTACATTCGGTTTGAGTTGCGAACCAACTATATTAAAATAAATGAAATTCAGGGTATTTGCTCAATGGTATCTTGGAAATGTTGATCTTTTTTTTGAGGCATATAATTCATTCAGTGTCTATGGTTTATTATGAGAGTGAATAAAAATAATGATCTCTGAAAGAGTGAGAAAATGCCTTCCAATCCATCACAAGCTATTTTTAACTATCAGTGTAATAATTCAAATTATGGTATCGCCAAGTAGTAGATGAAGTATAAAAGCTTTTTACCTCCAAAGTATAAAATCAAATTGAACAGCTGTTTCCTGAAACAATAAATAACACTGGATATATATTAACCATTCTCAGTAACAATTTAACTCTTGGTCCTTACGTATAAAAGTCATCTCTAAATCTTTTAAAGATAAACAACACAGCTCAATGGTATAAAATGAAAAGAAATATGGATTCCACATGAGAAAAGTTGTTAACATATTACAATTCAGGAGTTTCTGTCTACATGTAATCAGCCCACATTTTGCAAGAGATGGATAGAGAACAAGTAAAAAAAAACAACAAAAAAAGCGATTTTTCGTACAATCAGGGGCCATTATCCAGGATATTTGGGATATAAAGAAATGATTTTAGTTTCATCAAAATTGGATAAAAATTGTGACTTCTAGAGGGTCCAAAACCTTGGTATAACATACTTTTACACTATTTGCGTACAAGAAGCGGCCATTTACTCAGGCAATTTCGTTCTGATATTCACAAAATTAGAACTCAACCGTCATTAGGGTGCAACGGTGATACCTTTAAACGTTTTTTAAAATCAGATAAAATTATGACCTCATTTGGTCCGGCAGTTTGGGTCAGATTTTTACGAAATTTGCACTAAACCTTCACTGACATGTAACAACGATATATTTAAAGATACATTATGGGAGATTCCATAACGAGTTGGCAGTTCTCACTATAATAATTAAAAACTAGATAACGTAAAGGCAATTTGCTGAAAATTTCATTCAAATTGATCCACTATGAACCGAGAACTAAGCGAATGAAATTTCTGCCTAGCCTCGGTCATCATTACAAAAATCAGTACGATAAACAGCATAGTCTCGATTATCCACTTAACCGTTTAATCGAGAAGGAAAGTTATGCAGTAAATCGGCTCACAATCCACTTAAGATTGCAGGCTAGCGATGCCATCTAGAGTTGATTATGGTCTGGATAGGTTAATTAATGTCTAATTAATAATTTAGATAACATTTCAGGGCTAAAGTAAGACCTGCAATAAGCAGATTTAGCTCTTGCATAATGTATGTTTAAACGTATTTTAAAATTGAATACAAATTGTGACTTCTAGCAGGTCCACAACCTAAAGATGTGATTTTTTGTACAATCAGGGCCATAATTAGGAAGTTATGGTCCGATATGCGCAAATATCGAAAGGAACCAAGATCTTTTGATTATAATTATACATTTCAAGTTTCATCAAAATCGGATAAAAATTGTGACTTTTGGTGTGACCACAACCTTGGTATTACATACTTTTACACTATTTGCGTACAAGGAGCAGCCATTTTGTCTGGCAGTTTGGGTATGATTTCTACAAAATTCAAACTCAACCTTCATTGTAATGTAATGGTGATATATTTATTAAACGTTTTTTTAAAACTGAATACAAATTGTGACCTCTAGCGGGTCGCCAAGCTAAAAATGTGATTTTTCGAACAATCAGGGCCCATAATCCAGGAAGTTACGTTCGGATATGTGCAAATATTGAAAGGAACCAAGATTTTTGTGATATAAACATAAATTTAAAGTTTCATCAAAATCGGATCAAAATTGTTGCCTCTAGAGTGTCCACAACCTTTGTATTACATACTTTTACACTATTTGCGTACAAGGAGCGGCCATTTTGTCTGGCAGTTTGGGTCAGATTTTTACGAAATTCGAACTCAACCTTGATTAATATGTAATGGTGATATATTTAAAACATTTTTTAAAATTGAATACAAACTGTGCCTTCTAGCGGGTCCACTAGCTAAAAATGAGATTTTCCGTACAATCAAGGGGCGATAATTCAGGAAGTTACGATCTGTCTGATATGCGCGAATATCGAAATGAACCAAAATCTTTGGGTTATAAACATGTATTTCAAGTTTCATCAAAATCGGATCAAAATATTGACCTCTAGAGCGTCCACAACCTTAATATACGATATATTTACACTATTTGCATACGAGGGGCAGCCATTTAGAAATTTGTACTCAACCAACATTATGGTGTAATGGTGACATATTCAAACTGTTTTTTAAAATGGATAATAATTGTGAACTCTAGAGGGAATACAGATTAACTCTAGAGAGAATACAAATTAAATTCAACCTATTTCTTCGGGAAAATATAACCTCATACTATCTGGAAGATCAGGGGAATTGGTTGATACACAAAGGTTGACACTTTAACCTCACATTGTTAATACATTGGTGTGCTCTTTTTTTCTATGTTTTGCTGAATGAATTTCAGGCATTATCTTTTACAGGCATTATCTTTTCCCCGCATTATCAGCCGATCAAAAATATACTTACAATATATCCATAAAAGATGGTCTAGTCAACAACTTCTCTTTCACAATAAATGTACTATATTCCAGCATAATATTCAATGATTTTAATATCTGTAATAATAAACAGGAATAAAATGTTTATTGATGTATTAAAAATACTTACAACCCTACCTACTAGTATGTTATATTGGTTAATGTGTATGCAAAAAGCTATAAGATGAATAAGATAAGCTTTGACACATGTTAATGTACCAGCATACGTAAGGTTAGGTACTATACAGCTACTTTTATAGAAGCCATTTGGTAAATCATATAATTATGATATTTTTACACATCACAAACTAATGAAGCTATTTAAGCTATTCCATGTAAACTTCTAGTATAAACCAGGTATTAGCTTCCAAAAGTTTTATAAATGAAAATCTTGTATAAGAATAGGGTTTAATGTCTTACTGGTCTAATCATGGACCTTATAATACATTATAAGGTCCATGGTCTAATCAAGACCTGCATATGTCATGCAGTGTGTTATGAGGGAAGTTTTACCCAGACAGCGGCGCTATGGCCTACTCTTATTTTGAATTCCAACTGTCAAGGGTTTATTTTACGTGCACGCCAACGTATAATGACTGGATGTTGTTTCTTGCTAGGCCCTGAGTTCTGCACCACTGACAAGGGGAAACTATGATGGAAAAATTCAAGGTACTATATCTTGGCCAACACTGGGAGCGAGTCTGAGACCTGTTGTTCAGAGAGCCAGTGCCTTCATGGCTGAGTCACCATGGTTCAGCACTTGTGTAAGGGACTATCTACAATAAAGTTGTAGTCGTCGATCAACATTATCATCAACATCATGCTCACTGTATTTCAATTCACAATTTGAGATAATTTCCTTTGGCAATGTAATTTACGCAATTCAAAAATATACAAAATCCAAACAATCATTCAAAAGCATTACTACCTCCATTTTTTGTTGAAAGGTGAAAACGTGATATGTCAACATTTCTAGAAGTTGTATACTCATCTTTGGTACAATCATCTCACAAGCTTAAAATATATAAAATAAGCTGTTAAAAAAAAATATACATTTTTATGAATTTAAAGGAGAACTTTATAATCATGCAAAACCCAAAGTGCATTTTTTTACTAGATTTCACAAAAATGGTTATGTATAAAAGTTTTTTTCTTCAATGTACTGACATTGAGATTTCTTGATAACTAATCATGACTCCTACTAGTATGATACAACATTTGGAATAAACTCTCTCTTGTCTTGGTTTGTTTCCCTTATTGTTATAGTTTCATTTAATTTTGATTGAAGCCAGTTATCACTACAGGCCCTGGACTGTACAGCAGCACAGTGGATGTTTACAGCTGGCCCCCAGATTCATTCACTTGTTTTGATATATGCACTTTCTTGTTTATTTTTTGAAATAACTGTATATATTGTATAGGGTTGTCTTATGTAATTATTTATGTGTGGTGCGGTCCTCCTGCACTTACTATTTAAATAATATATTTGCACGCCAGATTTTAATTTGCACTAAGAATTATCATACCAGTGCTTTAAGCCTACTGAGCGACTGATCAGCCATCAAAGTTTCAAGAGACCACAATTTCACTAATGGAAGCTAGTCCATGGAAGGGAAAGTAGCTCTTGATTAGTTGCTGCATAACATTTCTGATGGGCCCTTCCAAATGATAACTAAACAATTTTGGTATCAGGGGCAATAACTCTACATCCAATTATTGCAAAATCCAGAATTTTGATAACAGTAGTAAGTTTCAAAACAAGTTTTGAATGCTGCATACACTGAACCTGTGATACATTAAAATAAATAAAATAAAACATACCCTTTGAACTGTTATCACATAAAACCTAGAAAAAAGATCAATAATTGTAATCTTTAGTGTGTATGGAAATCCATCCATGTTCATAGGTTTCTATACCTACAAATTTGAAGAATTATCAGTACAGTAGTAAACATTACTAGGGGAGAAGATTTCAGATTTACAAAATTCTCCTAACAAAAATGAGAAGGAGAAATATTTCCAGAGTTCTATCCAGGTGGCTGGTCTATGCTGCTGCCATAATTTTATCGGCTAAATTATACTATTCAAAAAAAGTAGGGGATATTTGATTTTGGGGGCATAATACTAAAATATGCAAATGACTACGAAAAAAGTCACTATAGAACCTAACAGAAGAAACATTTCCAGTTACATGTGACGCCCAAACGCACCAATAGCTACCGCATGGAATGCAGGTGATGCTTGGGATCATCATGGGGGTCCAACCCAAGATTTGCACGACTCTGACTTTGAATGTTACAGTCATTGTGGCATTGAATTCCAGGGTGGAAACATCAGTTTAATTGTTTTAGTGACCAGAAAACAAATTTTGATATGCGTCGGCTTACCCAAAATGAAAGGTTACATGCCCTTGGCATGCTACAGATCGGCACAACACAGGCGGTTGTGGCGCGGACGATGAATGTTTCTCAGTCTGTCATAAGCAGGCTATGGTCCAGATACCGTGATACACAATCTGTACAGGACAGACCACGCTCAGGTCGACCAAGGGCGACAACTCAAGCCCAGGATCGATTTATCCGTACCTTGGCCTTGAGAAATCGTGTCATCACAGCAAATCAGATCAGCGCTCGTCTTCAAACAGACACTGGTGTGAGAGTGAGTGGCCAGACGATTCGGAATCGACTGCATAGGGGTCACCTTCGCGCCCGACGTCCTCGCGTGATCCCTTGTTTGAGAGATCATCACATTCAGGCAAGACGTGGTTGGTGTAGGGATCGTCAACCTGGGATAATCAACGCTGGAGCAATGTGATGTTTTCAGATGAGTCAAGGTTCACTGTTGATTTTTTGGACAGACGTAGGAGGGTGTGGCGTCGTCGAAACGAGCGCTTCCAAGACGTGTTACAGGGCGTGTTACAGGCCAGTACTACCGGGACAACATCTTGGCAGTCCATGTTGTGCCATTCGCACGACGTCATGGCCGCCGTTTCATCTTCCAGGATGACAACGCAAGATGTCACAGGGCCAGGATCGTTACAGGTTACCTCCAACAACAGAACATCACCACATTACCTTGGCCAGCACTGAGTCCCGACCTCTCCCCCATCGAGCATGTCTGGGACATGCTTGGACAGAGGTAACGTCAACGTCAACAACGTCTTGCCAATTTCCAAGAACTTGCTGCTGCGTTGCAACAGGAATGGGACAATCTGGACCAAAATGACCTTAGACGTCTCATTAGGAGTATGCCAAGTCGGATCAATGCTTGTTTGGCAAACAGAGGAGGATTTACCCGTTACTGACTTGGTTGTGATGCTGTGGTAACTTTGCTGTTTGACCCCGGGTATCATTTTACCCTTATAATGGTCAGTCTGTGCCTTACTTAGTCTAACGATCATTTGGAATAAATCGATGAATGTGAACTTCATTTCATTTTGTCATTTGTTTCTTCGTCAGTTTCATTAGGTGACTTTAATAACACTTAAAAATCAAATATCTCCTACTTTTTTTGAATAGTATATATAAATGTTCCACATTCAATGGGTTTTTTTTTGGTTTTTTTTTTACTTTTCTACCTCATAGTTTTCAACCTTTTCCTTGAAGTTAAGCTTAGTAAACTATAATTTAAACATTTACGCTCGTATAACATTTCGGTGTTCCAGGTCAGGTACCATCTATGAAAACCTGATCTCATGGTACAAACAACTGTAAATTATATAATTTAAAAGTGAATAACAAAGTGGTCTGATTGGTCTTCTAGCATACATCATGTAATTTTGCATGAATGAATACATAATACATGATTAAGTGTAAATCTCTGATTATCATTTAAAGAATCTTAAAAATGCAAATATTGTCAACTGAAACAAAAAGACTAATTTTTCTTGGTTATTTAGGGAATAAAATTATAAAATGTTTAACTACATGGTTACTGGATAAAAGATGACACTGAATCACACAAGTTTACTCTTGACATTTTTAACAAAGAACTAAATCTGGCGTTCTTATTAAAGTGTTTAATATTAATAAAAGATTTCTTTAATAAAAAAAATGACTATAATAAAATATTCTCTAGTATGTATGATAAAGACACCTATGATATAGCGGGAGTATCAATAACTGCTATATTCCTTTATCTAACCGTTCTTTTCTCCACTCACAATTGTTGTGTAACATTTAAATATCCCAGCCTTGAACGCATGCTTCTTCATTCAAAGGAAGAGACTTGATTCCCCTATCATAATATTACAAGTCATGCATGAATTCACTCTATTAGTGTTACTACTGTACCATTTACACCTACATGTAGCTCAACAGAGAAGCACGGTTAGATTTACCTAACAAGGGATGTAACTTCAATAAGAAGGCTTAACAAGTGCCTAAAAATTTCACTCGCAATACCGGTACCAGAGACTTGCTGGAATTGAATGGCTGAAATTGAGGAAATTAGCCTTTACATGTCACTTGAAACTGTTTAAAAATGGGAAAGAAACTATACTTACATTGATAGTCTCTAAAATAACATCAAGAAGACTTTCATTGCTTTCATCTACAGCATCTGATTGGTCAACAAATGCTTCTAAGCTTTCAATGATCTTAAACAAAAAAACATTACTCATTAGTCTACTTAATGATATGTAAATGGATTTTTTTTTTCTTCAACCCCAGTAGTAAACTTTTCCAGTCCACTTGACAAACTTCCTGCCAGTTTGGCCTAAATCGCTAGTCAAACTTTAAAAAGAAGAAGAACAGAGAGAGAGAGAGAGAGAGAGAGGAATGTGATTTAATGTAAATACAATAGATTATCATTTTGGGACTATCATATGGTTCCATTTTATTTCAATAATTCGCTTGGATGTAGGGGTCTGTAGCAGTGGGAGGAAACCGGAGGACCTGGAGAAAACTGACAAGATTGGAGCGGTGATCCCTATTCCTTTATAGGTACAAGTGTGGGATCGAAACCATGACACTTAACTTAATAACATACCCTATGATCTAAAGCGCACATTAAAACAATGCGGCCACCTAATCCTACTCTCAAAGAAGAAATCAAACATGCAAGCAGGCAGGCCCAGTCAGAATTTTGTTATAGGCTATTATTATAAGTAATTAGGCTCTGAAATAGGCCCTTTATTCTAATTTAAAAGGATTTGAGTCTCTTCCAGTTTTAGCTAGAGCAAGAGCACTAAATTACTTCCACCAAATTCACCTAACCACAGTGTTGTATCAATATTAGAAGGACCTTAGAAAAATAGTTATACCCATGTTCACTCTTACCAAGTTTTCTAAGCCATACTTCAACAAAGATAAAACATTCTCATCTTCTTGTTGATTACCAGGATTTTGCAGAATTTGTTGACATTCTGATAAAACTGACTGCAATTTCTCCACACAATCAACAGATGACAGATCAACTGGTGAAATCTACAACACACACAGAATAATGCCAAAACCTAATTTGTTTCTAGTTGTGTCAGTATTAATAGCATTACTATTACATTATTACATACATACAAAGCATCAATAATAAAAAAATTGAGTCAAACATGTCAGCAGTGGCTTTACACATTTGTCTCAAATAGTGCAATCTAATGTCATGTTGAAATGTTTTTTCTCAGGCCATTTTTGTAGAAATTGACTCTTTGAAATGTATAGGCTCTCTCCTTGGTCGTTCCTGTATAGAGGCACGGTTTAGGCACGGTTTGGGCACGGGGGGGGGGGGGGGTGAACATATGCCAGTTGTGGTGGTTCTCTAAAAGAGATGAGTAGGTTGGACTAATAGTAGGGTTTTTTTTTCATTTCGCCTACAGACATGATTTGTTTGTTCAAAACTTTCATTGGCTTAGGAATGAAGAAAAATATGAAATGGCAAATGAAAACAAGTAGGCTAATTCTGTGGAAATACTAATAGGACTGTTTTTTTAAAGCTCACCTCAATTAAGCCTTTTCTAATTGGATGTAACTCTTGAATAAGGCCATCCATCTTGTAATTATTTTCTTCTACTGACCAGCAAACGTTAAATTCAATTTGTTACCCCATTGTAATCATCTGAAATGAATTACTGTTACAGCATCGTAAAAGGAAAGAGGGTATGGTATTTGGTGATGTTTCTTGCGCTTCATGTTAAATGGTGTTATCTCCCTTGATACCATTACTTTAACCTAATTGGGCATTGACAAAATTTTTGGAAGGGGTGTGCCTGTAAATTTATATCTGTGACCAAAATGATAACCAAGTGTCATTTTAAAGTTATACTGTTAAAATTGTACCATCCTTCACATAATACATACCGGGTTTTCTTCAAATTATTTAATTACCGGCTAGGGATGATGTTTAACGTGTATTTAAAACGTTATCTAATTTTTTAAACTTGGACATGTTGACTAGTTTATTATAAGTACCATGCACTTCATGATGATTACACCGTACGATACAAGCTTAAAAAAACACGATATCTGTAGTTTGGTACTCGTGTAGGCCTACAGCTGCTCCTCAAATGACACTGATCGAAATCATTCAAAGAATCATAGATTTTATTAGTCTGTTCAACTTTATAGTACCATACAGTACATTGTGAGTCTCTATTTTATAATAAAAGAGTATTTTTCTTTTTAACTCTTGCGAAGAATTTTGGGCCGGTGCAAATTAATCGTGAGGGACGGGGTACTATAGCCTTGCCCTATGGATAAGGTTTCGCTTTATTAACCAAGTTAGGTCATAGCATAATCTATTCAGAATACCGGTTTATTATCGTAACTCAGTATAAAATCAATTAAATAAAATATCTTGCACGTCTATGGCATAATAGAGGGATCGAATTATAAAACTATAACGTCATTATATCATTTATTTAGAAGACAGAAAAGAGATGTTAGCACCTGCTTCTCGACATCCTATCAAAAAAAGTCAATGAATTTTGAACGGTTAACATTAGAATTAGGTACGTAGAACTCCATTAAAAACATCTGTCATAAATCCAATATTGCAATATTGGTATACGTTTTAAAAAAAAAAATCGCAATTAAATCTTGTTGGCTATTTTACATGTATGTTTCTCATACATGTGTGGGTTTATCATTTTTATACCATCTTAGTCGGACAATCGTCCTTGTCAAAAGACTTACTCGGATTTATTGACTTAGTGTCTTGGGCAGGCCAAATCCTGTCAATTTGTTTTAAAGTCAAACGCGAAGACGCACCTGTTGGTCTGCGTAGTTTTAACTACTTAAACTAGGTCTAATAATAGTAGTGTACTAGTAGACATGGCTGTCTACCGATGTTGATTTATTTGTTTCGTTTTTAAAAATGATTTTGATTAGGTTAACGAACAGGCCTTGTAGTTGTATTTGTATTAACATAGTAGCCTACAGATAAATGATTTTTCGAAAAACAGGTCTAGCCTTCGGGCTTAGGATAAGCTCCAGCCAAGATCCTAATTAATTATATTATTTGTCAAACCCATAAGGCCTACCAACTACATACAGTTTAACTTTAGTAGGCCCTAACTTCGAAACACTTGAGTTGAACTGTACTTCTTCTACTTCTAGTTCTTCTAGCTAGGCTATGCCCCTCACTCTCCCCAGTGACCGCTAATCCTACTCACGCACCCCTCGCCCCCTGCTCGCCAGGAAAGTAAAATCAGTTGACTTTAAAAATCATGACGCCCAGTCTGGAACTGGACAGCTAACTAAATCGAAATCAAGAAAATAATATTATTAATAGGATAGGCCCTAAACAAGCGTAGATCTTGAGTTGATCGTAATAAAAACGGATCGAACCTAATTAATTGTAAATAAATCTAGATATATAAATCAAATGACAGGTAAAATTGTCCGTAGATCGCTGGCCTACTCCATCCGAGCAGATCTGTCGTGCTTGTCAGATCTACCGGTACTGGCTGAGATCAGCAGGAGTTTTGACGAACATACCGGTAGGGCCTACTACTTACTAGAGGTAAGTAAAATTTGTGCTGGAAATCTTCGCTAAGACAGCCCGAAGTGTCGTAAACATGCGAATTAAAGAAAAAAAAGTGTCATCAACATACGAATTATAGACTTCTGAAATTATTTCATGAATACCTGTAGCCTAGTTAATTTCAATGAAAGATGGCATTGACAAGTTCAAAGCGATAGGCTCTGTGTACACTCAAGCAGACGACAGTCATGGCCAGAGATCTAACCTTTGACCCGGACCACTACTACGTCACAGCGCGCGAAGTAACATGTGCCCGATGTAAACAAACAATTATAATAAAATTAAAATACAAGAATGTCTATGTTTCCTCAAATTTTGAAAATAGATAAATATCACCAAGATTTGGAAAACTGCGAGTTAATTCAATCATATTACATCGCAAAATGGTATTAACTGTCATAATTTACCGTTACATGTACTACGCCCTTTCGAGGTATTCTCCGTACTGTGTTCAGATTTTGACTCGCGCAGGTCCTTTTCTGCATAGGAGAAAGTCGGTCAAATTCTCAAAATTTTGATTTCTATTGTTCTTTGTGAGAAGCCTTAAATGATTTATATATCTATCGTAATTAAAATATTGTACATTTAAGACATAATCATGCCAAATTGTGTCTGAACTTTCCATTTTGAGCCTAAATTCAGCGTTTGAAACGATTTAAGCGAGCCAAAATGGACGCGGAGGTCTATTGTTAGACGCTTGTGCAGCGCCACCAAGCGAGAACAATAAGAACTACAGTAAAGAAAAGGAGGGTAACTCTCACGAGTTTGGCGCGACTTGTAGAAGTTTTCAAATGAGTTAAAAAGTTTTGCGCAAAAACTTTTTGCACATATGTCTAATTCTCGATGTGGAATGAATTTCAAATGTAATTACATGGCGTGTCAGAAATAACAAAGCCGAAGAATAGGGGAGTTTTTATTCCCCTTTTCTTGCCGTAAGTCTGCTGTTCAAGGCAATTTGCATCTTGCTCTTCCCAGCTGGAATTAAGATCTCAGTTTCATTATGACGGCGACTCCATGATTGATTAATATTTATAGTTTTATGTGTCTTATATGTTTTCTTGAATAATCTAGTTTGTAAGAAACTGGAGAACTGCCCCTATAACATTAGGAGATGCAGGTGTTATGCTGTTAGATGTGTACCTCCCCTTCAGTTTTCGCAGTCAGGAAAGTGCGGCGAGGGGCTCGTAGAACTTCTTTGTTGACTGGAAAAAACCAAAGGAAAACATCGCGTGTAATCCCATGATTATCTTGGATAATTATTACAGAATAAAAGGCAAAATCAAAGCCTAGAAAACATGTATGGGGTGTATTGTGCGGGAAGGACGCCGCGTCAAACGTGTGATTGGAAAACGAAGCAGGTGAACTAGCGCACAAAGCATGGTTTGAGGGATTTGGAGCCGAGCACGCAGAATAGATGTTATATTCAAGCCTAACAGATGATTTATTGCTACTTGAGAAGCAGATGAAAACTTGTCTAAACAAAAGACGGAATAATATACGAAAGAGTAGCGAGCAGTTAGGGACATGGGGTGACTGCACGACGTCAAGATCTCATAAACATTCTTTGAACACCCCTCTTTCCTGGAGAGCATATCATGCCTTGACTGTTGTCATCTTTCACAGGCGGTAGTCCGGCTAGACCCCATAAAATTCACTGCTGAATGTTAGCGAGCACCTGGACCCTTCAAGTTCCAGCGACCACGTCATCCCCCCGCATGTAACCCCTAATTTGGCGGACTTAATATCCTCCGTAACGTATATGTGACACTCGAAGCCTAGCTCTTAACTTCTCGTCATATGGCGCGTGACATCAAATGCTCATTTTTTAAGATAAAATTAAGTCATTGCTGTAAATGGTTTACAAGTGTGTATAACAGTTTTAAATATTATTTATGCCTAATCACGACAGAGGCGTGACGAGTACATGAAATGCGCCATGCGGCCACGTTTTTTGATAGGGGCTGCTCTGTAAGTTGATTTAGCGTAATAATGGTAAACAGCAGGCTAATATCACTCCCCTGTTGTTACAAATGAAGCAAATAAAACATGATACTCAACCATTGCTCCGCCAAGCCCAGTATTTTGTTAGTTTTGATGAAAATAGGGGTTGTATGTCGACGTAGTGGTGCCATACTGAAGTAGGAATCCTTCTGCAAGAATCCCGTATCTTAAGTTGTTTTACCTTTCAATCCTTCACGTGTAAATAGATCAATTATACAACACACGTCACATTAAGCACGTGCACCTTCCTTCAATTAAAACTTACTGAGCAAACTTGAAGGAAGAAGTTTGCCATGTCTCCACCAAGAGTTTCTTTGTGGTAACTTTGTAACGAGTTGATAGGACACCTGAATAAACTAGAAAACTAACTGGGTGTCTAACTCCCATCTTCAGATCCTGTCTTCCTTCAATCTAAAAGCTATCTAATCAATTTGGAAAGGGTAAACTTGAGAAGCAGATGCAAATAGGTGTTTCAAGAATATTGTCTCATTTGTCTGACTTTGACTAGCAGACGTTTCGTTTCGAATTATCCCCGTCAACAATATGGGAAGGGTAACCTGCGATTTGTACCAAAACAAAGTTCAACTGTGCTACTGTTCTTCTATTTACCGAGTATTGTAACAAATGCCTTGCTAATACTTTAAGGTTTTTTTAAAGGGTTTTTTCTTGTAACAACTTGAGTCAAAATGGTTTCAAGTTTAATGCTAGGGTGTGGAATCCCCATCGATTGTAAACAAGGGGGTTAAATGAAGGCAAAAACCTCATGTTTGTCAGCAAACAACGCGAAACAGCTTGTTGAGAATGTTCAGATAAAAAGGGTGGGTCTAATGCCTTTATAATTTGTCAAATATTTAATGAAAACAACCCACATACACAGTATTGATATATGCCAAAGGTAACTTGACGGTGGTGTAAATAGCTCCATTTCCCCCTCCTTTGCAGTCTTTAGAATCATTTGAAAATGTCTTAAGCTTTCAATAATTTACCTGATCTGACAGCTAGTTGACATGGGGGCATGGGAATTCCACGATGGTAATT